AACTCACAGAGATCCGCCTGGCTCTGCCTCCCAAGTGCTGGGATTAAAGGCGTGCGCCACCACCGCCTGGCTAAAACGCTCATTATTTTTAACAATTAAGTAAATGCAAACCCAAACAACTTGGAGATTTCATCTTAGCCCAGTAATAATGGCAAGGACCAGCAAGACAACAGACAACAAAAACCAGGGGAGATGTGAGGAAAGTAAACCCGCATTTGCTCTTTGGGGGCTTTCAAACTGGTGTAGCCACTAAACCAGCATACCCTGAACTACATTCTAAATATCTGTCATTATATTCACAGATAAGTGTAGTCTTTACCCCGCATTGAGGAAACTTCTCTTTGCAACAGATTTGGACCGATACATAAAATCATAATCAAAACGCAGAGTTATGAAGTTCTGATCCAATGGATACATCTACAAAACACTTCGAAATCTAAGGCTTAGCAAGCATTGCATAAGAGGAGGTGGAAAGATTGTAAGAGCCAGAGGATCAGGGAGTTTGCTGTGAGATTGTATCTCCTAGTGAAGCCAGAAGCTACACCCATAAATTCTCACCAATGTGACTGCCAAACACGAGCAGAACAAGGACAACAATAGGCATGCCAAAGTGGATGAGGGGAAAATCATGCACTTCAGCTCTACAAAAAGAACTATATAGGCAAATAAGGAATGCTGAAATCAAGACAAATACTCGTTCTCAGGGAAGAGGACAAAAAATGGTTATCTAGTACCAAAGATTAGTTACGAAAACATGCATAAGTAACATTATACAGACTGAGCAGGTTATAGTAGGAAAAAAATATATAAAAGAAATATATATACATACACATATACATATATCATATCTTCCCATCTGTGTAGTACTTGTACTGTGTGACTGGCCTTTCCTTGCTGCTTTTTTATTTTTATTTTTTTCCTTCCTGCTTCAGTGTTCTCTTTATGTAGCTGTGTCAACGACACACCAAATAATCTGATGATAAGAGAGGGCTTTGTATGTTGTATACACTGTGCACTGTTTAGGGGTTTCAGGATGGAATGTGTGGAGCCTGAAATCCAGATCTAACTAGGTAGCCTGTGTGTGTGTGTGTGTATGTGTGTGTGTGTGTGTGTGTGTGTGTGTGTGTGTGTGTGTTAGCAATGAGCACAACTGTTCCTGATTCACAGGAAGTCACTTGAGCTGGATCAACTGTGCTTCCTGGGCCTGTCCCTCCTGTGACCCCAGTGGCACTCCTGTGTCCCAGGATCATGCCAAATTGAGCAGTTCTTTCACCACAGGTTGGTGAGCTATGCTAGTTTAGGACTTGCTGTAATGTAGAAGAGTATCCTTGGTATTACATATTTGTTACTGTAAAGAGACAGTATCTTTTTTTATATTTCATCTTCCTATTAATATGATACCCCCATTTGCTTATGCCTTTAATAGGGTTTGATCATTTCTTTGCAAAAGTCCTGTATATATTCTGTTAGACTTATTTACATTCTTTTTCTCATTGCTATTTCACATACAAAGCTGCCATGATCTTTATTAACACATTAAAAAGATGATTATTTTTTCCTAAACTTCCTGGGCATTCACAACAAATCTACATTTTTTTAAAATGTCCATAGGGCTCTTGGCACTGTCCCTGCAGTGATTTATTAAAACTTCAAGTTAATTACTTTTGCCATATGTAATTCCCTTCCCCATTGACCAAATTTCTCTTGGTTTAAGTTTTTCTTTGATGGCAGAAAATATGTCCTAATGAATCGCAAATGTTAACTTTCAGTGTTTCCTGTTCCTGCCTTTGTTTTGTAGGCAAGACTAAATAACGTTCAATACATATTTTACCCTAGTTATTTTTGTTGTGCCTTTTAGCCCATCTGGAGTTTGTTTTGGTGTTTGTTGTGTTTGGTGATGTCAGTTTTATTTTCCTTCCTCAGAAGTTAGTCGAACATTTACGGTTATTTTATTCTGCACCGAATTCTGCCCTAGTCATGGATTTCTGTCTGGAGCCGTCATTTCCATTCTTGTTGGCTAGGGAGTTAATGAGTCTTGGAATTTTAGTCAATCAATTAAACGTGTTTAAAACTTGAGGATGCCTTGCCCTAAGCTGCAGTGGCTTCTGGCAACTGTTTCCAGTACTGAGCTCAGACAGAGTCCACCGAGTTCACTAGGCTGGTCAGTGTGGAGGCCTGCAGGTGGGTGAAGGAACTGAGGAACTTAGGAATTACCTTGCGATTTAGGACAGTCTGGATGCCTATAGCTGGGTGACACAGTTAAGGAACTTAGGAAATACCTTGTCATTTAGAACTTTCTCGTAAAAGGAAGTAAGCCTCAATTTCTGGCAACTTTTTGCTTGTTTTGTTTTAAATGAGAAATTGAAAGGAAAAAAAAAAAAAAGAAAAAGTCTGAGGCCTTCATTCAGTCCTCAGAAGTTGAAACAAGTCCAGAAAGCACATAGGACAGGGTATATTGTAAGTGTAGTAAGATCATGAGTTGAGATTTTTTGTTTCCATGTGGGAAATTACACACAGAGAAGTGTAACATACCACAGGATCTCTATCCTTCTACAGCTCCCAGTTCCAAGGTTGCTATTTCATTCCTACTTCTTCCCACCTCGCCCCCCAAGCATGGATTACATAAAAGCAAATTATAAATAGTCTACCCTTGCAAATATAAACATTCAGCACATGTCTGTAAAAGTTAAAATCCCTTGACAACAAAAAGAACTCCATATCCAGGCAGATGCAAACTTGCTCTCTCATCCTGCTGAAATGAGTGGAGTGTGGGCAAACCTCCAACCTGGATTAAGTCTCGGCTGTCAGCAGCCCCAGTGCACATGCGTGCACACACACACACACACACACACACACACACACACACACACACACTCCCAATCCCCCCTCTGTGATTCCAGCAAGCCTTCACTAACTCCCACCAAAGGTGCCCCCTCAGTAAGAAGAGAATTCTCATCCATTTTGGAATTGTCATCGGGGCGCTGACCTGAAAATCATGAAATACTAAGTTGGTCTAATTCTTCTCCTGTGTAAATGACCTTGAGGACAGGTCATCTGAAGAGCATGGGTCATCTCTGTTCAAGCTTAATGTACAGTATTGATCTAGCACTGATCCGCAGTCCTCTTGAAAAACATAGGCCTTTTCTTTTCTTTCCTTTTTTTTTTTTTTGAACCCAAAGCCTTCCTTCACACAAGCATTCTAGCACTGGGCCTTCCAGGTCCCTCTTCCTTCTCCCCATCTCTCACCTCTCTCTCTGTCTCTCTGTCTCTGTCTCTCTCCCCCCCTCTCTCACACACACACACACACACATCTCTCTCTCTCTCCTTCACTCTACCTCTTTTTCCTACCTCCCTTCTCTCCCCATTCTCCTCTTTTCCTCGTTTGAGATAGGCTCATTTAGCCCAGACTGACCTTGACCCTGCTCTGAGGCAAGGATGGCCTCAAACTTCTATAGTTCAGCCTTTACCTCCCAGGTGCTGGAATTATCATTGCCTGTACTTCAGATTCCTCTTTTAACTTTAGACGTCTGGACATGAGTACTAATAACTAGTTCTGACCAGGGAAGACATTTAAGGGCTGTTTCTTCCATCTTTTTGCTTCACTGACTATCCTATGTTCTCTTATTTCCATCCTTGAGAACAGGGAGCTGAATCAGAACGACTGGATCCTGCCTTACAAACCCCAAAAAAACTGAGAGGCCTTTTGGCAACCAGCGCTTCCGATAACTAGCAAGCAAAAACTCATGTCTTTCCCTGCAAAAGCCACAATGGTCACCAAGAAGTCTATGTAGCTGGCCGATTTTGATTGTTTAAATGCGGCATCCTGTGGGGAAAATGACTACTCTCCCTATAGAGGGAACCCTTCAAGAAGCCATTTTCCTAAAACGGGCCAACTGGGCGGTGTCCTCTTTTCCCAACGCCCCTTTGCTATTCTTAGATCGCGATCGCGGGGTGGCTGCTTTCGCTTTTCCCCAAGGCGGCGGAGTTCCCGGCGCTGCGCTGCGGCTGGGCAGGCCAGGCTGAGGCTGGGCCGGGACAAGTCGCAGTCGCCTTCTGGGCGCGGTTGGAGGCCGAGGGCTGGGCCTGCAGCAGAGGCAGCCCTGAGAGCAGCAACCTTCCAGGCTCGCCCCGCAGTCCCCGCCACACCATGGCCAGTGGCGGCTCGCAGAGCTGCGAGGAGGAAGAGGAGGAGGAGGCTCTGAAGAAGTTGATAGTCAGGCTGAATAATGTCCAGGAAGGCAAGCAGATGGACACGTTACTCCAGCTCCTGGAGGACATGCTGGTGTTCACCTACTCCGACAGAGGTACTGCCGGCAGCCCCTCCCTCCTCTGCAAACTTTATCCTGCACTTGGGGTGCTAATCTTAGGCATCCCACTCCTTTCCTTCAGGGAGGAAGGATCTGGAATCCCGGGAAGGTCGAAAGGATGCTGTGGATTGTGACTTTGTTTTCTTTTCCCACTACCGTCTTCTTTTCCAGCCTCCAAGTTGTTTGAAGGTAAAAATTTCCACGTGCCTCTGTTGATCGTCCTGGACTCCTACATGAGAGTCGCCAGCGTGCAGCAGGTAAAGGGACCGTCCCTTCTGTTCTGAAGACCCTTATACAAAAGGACTTATGGTCCAGGTACTTGAGATTAGCATTCAGAGGGAAACCTTGTCAATTGTTAGCAGAGGAAATGCAACTTTATTAACTGACAGAATCTAGATGGTGGTAGGAGCAAAATGAAATGAGTTCTCTTATTGGCAAGGTGATTTCATTAACCTTTCAAGCTATTCTAAGAATTTTCCTAATATACAGTGTGTTTTAAATAGAGCAGTGCCGTGATTAGTTCCAGCAAATGGGGGCGGGGACTAAGTTAACACGGGGCGGGGAGGGGGTGTCAAGTATAGGCTCAGCTTGTTTTTAATGGTTTTAAATGAGGAGACAGATTGCAAGGCTTTTCCTGCAGCGTACCTTTCCTTGTAGTGCTAGAGAAAGTGATGTTTCCAGAGTGCCTCTGGGTTTACACTTCTACCCTGCATCTTTTGTCACACAAAATGGAGACAAAAGTGTAACTTCTAGGATCCGTGTCACAGAAAGCCCAGAAGTAGGCTAGGTAATTAAATGTGACTGTCAAAGCAGGCCCAGATAGTTAAGAATGTCTTTCGGCCAAGAAGGAATTACTCCTGAAGGTGCTAACTTCCTTTGGAGTTTTGCCATTTGGGGAATTGAAATCAGTCTTGTCATCCAAGTACTAAGACTTGTAGGGGAACTCTGTGGAGGTGCAGCGAGAATATTCCTTCATGTTCATTCTAGTGACTAGACAGAAGTGAGGCTTATCTCACTCTCCAAATCCCCCTTCCTCCTTCAGGTTTCTCCAGTAAAGTCCAGACTGCCTGGAACTTGCTTTCTTCCCGCCACAGCCCCCCCCCCCATGATTACAGGTGTATACCACCACACCTGGCTTTAGTTTTCTTTTAAAAATCACACTTATACTTGCAACAATATTTTTTCAATCATGAAATACCTTCTGACTAATAATTTTTAGGTTATTCGGAAACAAAATCAAGAGAAAGATGGAGGCACGATAAAAAAAACTGTTCTTTTTAGCACCCACGGAATATGAATCATTTTTAAGGAGATTTCTACTCTCCACCTACAGCATCCTTCTTGCTTCATATTCAAAAGTGTCTAATTCTGGTTGCCTACACTGCCAGGGCTATACTTGGTAGACTCACCCCTCCTTGGTAAAAAAGCTGGGAAAAATTGGCCCCTGTTTTTCAGTCAACGGGGCTCATAAGAGTAGCAGAATTGAGAACCCACGGGAGGCTGGAACACGTCCCTTCCTTGGTTCTCTCTCCTTTCTTCTCTTCCTCCTGCTTCTGTCTGTCTCTTGCTTCTGTGTCTGTCTGTCTCTGCTCTCTCTCTTCTCTCCTCCTTTCTCTGTGCTGAAGGTCAAAATACAGGACTTGGAATGTGCTAAAGCGATATTTTGATTACTGACCTACATCCCTAAACAGTCTAATTTCCTCCTTCCTGACCCCTACTTTTTCCTCCCCCTCATTTTTCTTCCCCCTCTGTGTCTACCTCTCCCCATTCTTTTTTCTTCTTTATACTCCTCCATTTCCTCTTTCTCCTCCCCCTCCTTCATTCTCAAGTGTTTGTGTGTGTGTGTGTGTGTGTGTGCGCGCGCGCGCGCACGCCCGCATTCTATGAATTAAACACAGGGCTTTTAGACAAGCACTCTACCAGAGAACTAGCTACACACCCAACCAAGACATTCTAATTCTTGATTCTAGAAAATGCTCAAATGTGGTCTCCCTTGTCTGCAATAGTTACGATGTTTTTTGGGTGGGTGTGGGGGCATCAAAGTGTGTTAGGAAGGAACAGCCTTTGGTTTAGTAATTTAGCAGAATAAAATCAGTACTCTCAGTGTTCTATATGCATCTATCTGCAAAGGACTTTATGCATGTTACACTGGTAGATCCTTATTGGAATCTCTTTGCCTTTGAAGCAAGCTGACCAAAGTTCCTTCATATCAACTCAGTAAAGAGTGATATGAAGCTTGTAAGAGAGTGAGGACTCAAATCTATTCATACTTTTCAGAATTTCCATCAGTTGGTGTTGAATTCATAAGATGTTGTGTAAGCAAGCAAAAGCAAAAGCACAGATGCTACAAGCATACACAGTGGCCACATCATCATTGGTCCTATCAAAGGGGATGTAGAAAGGATTATCTCTTTGCCAAATTTCAACAGTATACAGGAAAGTAATATTTTCTTTTAAATTTCTTTACATAATTGGTGTAGTTAGTATGAACATCCTTTCCTATTTCTGGCATCCAATTATCTAGCAGTACCAAATGAAAAACTGTCGGTGAATGTAAGGAGTTTGGAGAGTTCTCTTCAGAAATGTGAGTTAAGGTTTCTTGTTAGAGTCATCTAAGATGATATTCCAGACTTTGGATTTTTATGCTTTTCTTGATTTGTGCTTCTTTGCAAAGGCAGATCATGGAGAACTGCTATCAAGCTTGCCCTGTGTATTCCTCTTCGTGTATGGCATTTTCTTTTTCTCCTCAATTTTGCTTCTCTTTTCCCAAGCAGTTCCAACCTTTGAAGAAGGAGACCAAAATAAACGAAAGGGGGTTAAGTGTTTATGAGGGGGATGCTTGAGCTAATAGAGCAACTATAATAGAGAAAAGGCTGTGACTGGCAAATCTGTGCAGGGCAAACTCTTTTTCTCTTTGAAAGATAAGTTCCTAATTGAAAGATTAATGCTTCGCTTGTTACCCCTGCTTTGTTGCTGGAGACTTCACTTAGTCACTGAAGCTCCACTCATTGACTGCAGGCACAGCTGCTTGAATGGATCTTTTCCAAGCAGTTATTGATGCTGTATTCTTAACAATCTGAGCAAAGCAGGCTTTCTCAGCAAGTCAGCCTTCCAGGTATTGACAGGAATTCAGCATCCTAGAATACATTTCCCCACTAGAAGCCCTGGAGAATGCTACTTTCTTAAATGCCTGGCCAAAAGGCTTCATATAGGTTTAAAAAATATCTCAGAAGCAGTTGGTTTCCATGACAACTGGATTGTTACTATCTGTTCTGCTTACCTGGTGGGAAGGAGGGTATTCAACTTAAATATACCTTAAACTTAAAATAAAGGAGGGTTAAAAAAATGACAGTTAGACATTTATGTCTTTTAAAGGAAGTTGTATTTATCTGAAGGGAAGTAGTGGCAACATAAGGCAATTCATGCTTCATTCAAAAACAGTAAAGAGACTTTAGCGTGTGCATGCTGTAAATAGACGTGACTGTAGAGAGAACATATGGATGTTTATCTTTGTGAGGTGCCTCCTTTCTCCTCATGTATACACACAGATGTGTGCTACTGCTCCATAGCGAGCAAATATGAATTTCTCACCTTGCCATTCGGCTCTTTGCATCATTTGTCTTCACTTCCCTGTCCAGCCTTATCCAGCTGCAGTCTCCTCCCCTGTACACAATTCTCGTCATGAGCTCCCCGCTCATCCTACAGCTCATGAATTTTGAACTGTGGCTGGAGTCTTACATCTACCACACCGTGTCTTGCTTTGAGTAGTTCTGACTCACATTGAGTCTTACTTCCAGGATTCATATACTTTAGTATTTATCGTCAGTCATTCTTAGATACCTTTGCATTAACTGTGCTCTACCTTAATGGAAATTTTCTGTTTCCTGAGCATATCAAGTATAGTTCTTTAGCATGTAGGAAGAATGGAAGATGTTTAAGATTTACAGAAGTAGTAGGAAGTGTGGGGTTGATCTCTGAATTGGAATCATGGGTTCCTATCTTTTCCAGAGTGAAAGAATGACTTGTTGATGTTGGGGTCACGTCCAGCAGACTGTGCAAAGGCATTTGGAAACAGGGGCTGCATGGATGGCTCAGTGGTTGAGAGCACTTGCTACTCGTTCAGAGGATCTAGTCTGCTTCCCAGCACACACACAAATGGTGGCTTTCAACACTGTGTGTAATTCAGTACCAAGTGTACTTGCTAGTTTTTGTCAACTTGATGCAAGCAAGAGTTCCTGGGAAGGGAGAACCTCAGTTGAGGAATTCTCTCCATTGGACTGGCTGATAAACAAGTCTCAAGGACATTTTCTTGATTAATGATTGTTGGAGGGCCCAGTGCCCTATGAGCAGTGTCTTCCCTGGAGAAAGAGCTTATGGATTTTACAAGAAAGCAAACAGAGCAAGTCAGTGAACAGCTCTTCTCCACAGGCTCTGATTCAGTTCCTGCCTCCAGGTTCTTGCCTTGAGTTCTTGCCTCAGCGTCTCTTGAGGGTAGATTGGAAGCTATAAGATGAAATACATCCTTTCCTTCCTGAGTTGTTTTTCAGTCATAGAGTTTCTGACAGCTTTAGAGAAGCTAAATGGAGTATGGGAGATCTGACACCATCTCCTGACCTCAAAGCATCAGACACAAAGGTGGCATATATGCACGCACGCAGGCAAGACATTCAAACACATGAAATCAACAAATCCTTAAAAAAGATATATGTAAAATGAACCAATAAGCTCTGCCATCATGCATTACTGTGGAGAGTTGTAGGGTAGAGTTAGACACTGAGGGGCATGTAAGGGGCACTTAGGTGTTTTATCTCCTATAATAGCTTCTTTTCTTTTCCAAGTAACAGATGTAGGTTCAATCATAGGACACTCCTGCTCATAGGCCCCTATTACCCAAAGCCAGTCATTTCCCGTTGCCACAAAAATCTTCAGCTTCAATTCTCCATTCCAAGTTCCCCTCTCTTTCTATAATCAAAATCTTGAATTCTTGGGAAAGATTATGTCAGATATTTACACGTTGGAAAAGTAATAAGGTATGGGCATAGCCATTCTTGCTTAATAATTTTAGTGTGCCCTTAAAAATTCTTTATTTTGTTTGATTTAGATGATAAGGATATCTATTTGGTATTTATTCAGGAATGCCACAATACTTTTGCGTTTTAAAGCAATGTGTAGTCTTAAATACACACCTCACTTTCATTTCACAGAAAGCATTTTTTAGGGCTTTGTTTTCTCTTAAAATGATTATTTAAAAAGGATATAATGATCTGTTACACTAAAACAAGACATTCATGATTGGCTCGTAGAGTGTGAATCTTTAAAAGTGTGGATATGGGACTGGGGGCATAGTTCAGTTGGTATAAAGTTTGCCTGCTATACAGGAATCCCTCAGCTGGATCATCCTCAGCATCTCGTAAACAGGGTATGGTGGTACATGATTTTTAATTCCAGCAATTTGTGTGGAAAGGAGGATCCATGGCTACAATATGAGTTCAAGGATAGTTTGGGGTGTATGAAACAGTATCTTGGGGAAAAAAGTAAATATTTATCTTTCTTGCTTTCAGGTGGGATGGTCACTTCTGTGCAAATTAATAGAAGTCTGTCCAGGGACCCTGCCGAGCTTAATAGGACCCCAGGATATTGGAAATGATTGGGAAGTCCTTGGTATTCATCGGTAAGTATGACAGATGCGTGAAAATAAGCTGTACCAAAAAATTATATGTGACACCCTTTGCCCATCCAAAACCATTCTGATAAATTCCTTAATGCATATGTGTTTTTCGTAAATCAATAATTTGCATCTGTAGAAATCTTTAAACTTTGTGAATCAGAAAACTAAGATTGATGGTGAAATATCAGATGAGATGATTTTTAATAACACAGTTCTATGATTATATAAATGGTTAAGTTGTAGATCTTTGAGTATGACTTAAGACAAAGGAAGACAAGCCTTTTACTATTAATGGTGGAACTGATACAATCCACGAGTTCTAAAAAAACCGTTGTGTCTGAGAAGTTACGTCTATAAGCATTCATTTCAAGGTCCTGCTTCACTGCCTTCATGTGCACATTTGCGTGTATCTGTGCATGCTAGTCTCAGTGAAAGTAGACTGGTTTTCAAGAGGAAGAGAAAAGAGGAAATTAATTCCTGTCAGCCCTTTGAAGCCTCGTCTATGTGACGATTTACCAGCCATTAGACTGCAGCTGTCAACGTAATGTCTTCAATAAGACCACATTCATAGCCATGATTAGATAAGAATTTTTGAAGAAAAAATTGTTTCTGGGAAAATCCCTTAAAAAATAATTTAGTTTCTGGAGACTTATAAAACTATCTTCTGTCATTAGGGGCCCTCATACGTAGGGCCACAGTTATGAAGATATTTTACTTCCAACGCTATGTTGCTTGAAAAAATACATTTTATTAAAAATTGAATATTATATTACTTATCAGAAAATGTATAAGGGATGGAACACTGTTCTGTCCCTAAAGGAGCTATTATGGATATGTCTTAGCATTTGCATGCTTCTCCAGTTCAAATATGTAGCTGTTGCACCATCTCAAGAGAATGGTTTGAGAAAAACAGCCGTTTTCAAACTACTGTTTGAAAGTCCCTGTGTCAGTTCTGTAATATATGTAGTGTGTACATATGCAATTAGTCATCCTGATTTTAATTTCCTTTTGGTTTGTTTGAGAATTCCAATCTTCTCCAAGTTTATTGAATCCACAATATCAGAAATCCACAAAGCTGCTGGAAAGCTTCCCTCCTCATATTCCAGAACAAACCAACCCTTTGCGATAAAATTGTAAAATTACTTCTATGGAAATTATTGTTTATGTATTCACTCATTCATTCTCTTGCTTACCACTCAAGTTCATTCCTCCTCCTCCATTCATTGTCTACGCTCCTGCTTTCAGTGAGATCTCGGCCTGTGACCAAGGGAGAAACCCTGTTTTCTACACTAAAACATTTGGGGAAAAATTTTGTAAGACGTTTTCTCTGTGGCCAAATTTTCCCCTTCAAACTTGACCAATACCGAAAAGGAAATCCTTTCTATAGCAACCATGTGAGGGATACTGAGGATGTGTTTACTGTTCTAGTTAACGATGGGAGTAGAGCCTAAAGTTGAGGAAGACTAAAGTCTGCAATAGTCAACTTTATTCAAAGCATCAGACAATTTATGGCCCGAGGGTCAAGAAGAATCACATGAGTATAGTGTATAATCATAAGGACAGCCACACATGGCAAAAACATATTTCTCTATAGAGGCAAATAAACAAATAGCAATAGCCAGTTGTAATGAATAATTTGAAATAAACTCATCCTTATCTGCTATGCATGAGAAGGGCACAAAAACATGTCCCAAGAACAATTCCATGTTTTTGAAGACACTGAGGTCACAAGACTCTTGTTCTGTTTTCTTGGCATTTTCTTACAAACAATCTGAATTTGCCTTGCATGACTCCATTCCTGGACTGTGTTCCAACAGAATGGAACAGAGAGAGGGGTAGGACGAGAATAAGTGGGTAAGTAACTGGCAAGATGTCAACAGTACTTCACCTTGCCAGAAAACCAAAAGATATGTTTTTTATATAGGAGAAGCTGTGGATGAATTTGCTCTATTTTCTTTCAACAATATAAAAATCAAAGACCACTAGGCAGAAAATGGTTTAGAACTGATAACACAGAGATTAAAGTCTAATAATCTGAGAGCAGGTAATATTGATATCAGTTCATTATCTAGTATGGAATATTACCTTATCAAAGATAGTAGCAAGCAATAATTTTATATTTAAGTAAATTCTTATGGTTATATGCAAATAAATATCTTTATTCAATCTTCCTGTATGTTAATATATCAATGTGTGTGACATAGTGTTCAAAAATTCTTATGACATATCCAATGCATCTCCTCCAATGTGGATACTCTTTGTAGTGCTTTGTGTGTTAACAATTAAGTAGGGGCATTTGGTGGAATATAGTCAGGACTTAGTTTTCCTATCAAGATATAGAATAATACTCTCCTCCTAACTCTCTTAATTTTTCCAGGTTGTGGGTCAATCCAGAAGCCTTGTATCTTATAGTCACGTTCTCTATTACTGAGCTTCATACAAGAATAAATGTTTGTGTTTCTCCCTCTGTTTCCCTCAAACTTTACTGGGATATGGTTGATAATTAGAAATATTCATATATTCAATGTAATCAACTTGTTAATTTGTAACAGAATCATGTGATGTATTTGCCACACTTGAGGCAAGTACTAGTCCTGGTTATTTCATTTACTTATTTCTATTTGTTGTGCTGGTAGAGATTGGACCTAGGGCCATGGGCATGCAAGGCAAGCGCTCTGCCAAGAGCTACACCCAAAGCCAGGCTGTTAATTTTATAATCTTGGTTTAAGTTTGTACCAAGGGGAAACCTATCCCGTAAGCTTTGCTGAACAGAACTAAGTACAGTAAGTGTATAGGTGAGTGAAAAGCAGTACTTAGATATTGTTTTGGATGTTACCGAATCTATGAGTTCAAACTTTCATTAAAAAAAAGTTGCATTTAGGTTGGCACGGTGTTGCACACCTCTGAACTCAGTACTGGAGAGGCAGAGAGGCAGGTAGATCTCTATGAGTTCGTGGCCAGCCTGAGGTATATAGTGAGTTTCATGTCCTCTGGGACTACATAGTAAGATTCTGTGTCAAAAATATTTGTTGATTGATTGACTTCATATGTATGTTCATGCGTGCATGCATGGGGGGCACATGCATGCCATGGCACTTATGTGAGGGTCAGAGGACAACTTGTGGGATTCCATTCTTTCTTCCACCATGTGGGCCCCAGGTCTTGACCTCAAATTGTCAGGGGTGCCAGCAATTGACTTTCCCACTGGGGAGTCTCCTTGGCTTTTGCTGTATAACCTTTCCATTGTCATGTGATCTTGTTTTTTATTCCAGACTGATTCTTAAAATGTTGACTGTTCACCAAACCAATGTAAACCTGTCAACAGTCGGTCTAAAAGCCTTAGATCTCCTCCTAGATTCAGGTGAGTCATCCCACAAATGTTCCCTCCTCTCTGCGGTCAGGGTCAAAGTGTGAACTAGTCAACTGTGGTTTCTAGAGAGGTTTTTTTTTCTATGTCTGCCTTCTCTGTGCCTCCTGTCTCAGGCTGCTTCTTAGATGCCATCCAAAACCTTGGTTCTGAATGCTGTTTATGTGGTCTTCCCATGTTCCCGTTTCTAGTTCTAGCATGGCTTTCAAAATCTGCTCCCATAATTCACATTCTTGGTACTTTTTTCTGTATCCACCTTGACAGTCTTGTCTGGATAAAGCATGTAGCATTACTTCTTGAGTGTTTGCTAGATGTAACATGCTTTCAAAAACCCTTTTCATCCCAGATAGGCATTTTCCTTATCTTTCTGGGTGAGAGGCACTGATGAGTAGAGAGGTGGCTTCAGCCACCAGGTGACACAATCAGGCTCTGATTCCATGCTCCTGAGCCTTTGCCTAAGGCGACCTCCGTCAAGAGACAAAGAGACCCAAGCCGAGATTTTGAGTTGGTGTAATAGTTGTGGTCATTGCCATCATAGATGCCTGTGGTTGGCAAAAAAAACATAATCCTGAATGTTGGGGGTTTCGTCCAATGAATAGGAGGTCATCTTGAGGTCAGGAGAATTTCATGTGCATAGCTACCGAGACCTGAGAAGATGGAAGGGAGACCGCACAGGCGAGTGGAGGATTAGTAGAATTAGTAGGATCCTGATTGGTCCTGCTCATGAAGACCCTCAGGGAGAGAAGGAACAAGATAGAGTCTACGGACCAGGGCCAGGAGGACAGGAGACAGGAGATTCCGAAAGAGTCTTAATTCAATTATTCAACCCTCATCCTTGGGAACTTAATTTTTTTTCTTGCTTCATTTTTCACTTGTCCTAATAGAGCGCTCTTCCCAGTGACCCTTCTGTAGAGGAGGAAATAGTCTGTGTGTTGCCCGCTGTCAGAACAAGCTGCACGATGTGATTGATGAGCATCTGAAATATGAAAACTGGACTTCGGTTTTATTTAATTTTTATTATTCAGTTTGAATTTTTTTTAGGCATATGTGGCTAGGGAATGGGGCTGCCTGGGCAGATGGGTTAAAGCATGTAGAGAAATGATTGAGGTGTAGTGAGAAAACTATTATAAGAGAAATATGGTGAAACCTGCCACAGCACAGACAGCCGCTAAATTCCCTTGTGGGGGTTACAAATGTAAGTGACCTGTCGAAAATTGGTTAAGGGTCTCACTGTCTTCCTAATGCAGACTGGCCTTGAACTCTCCTTGCGGCCCAGGTTTGTGTGAAACTCACAGTCTTCTTCTCTCAGCCCTCCGCACCCTAAGTGCTGGGGTTACCTCTGTAGGCCTCTCCACTTGTCTGACCTACTTAATTTTTAATCCAGCTTGGCCGCCTATTAGCTATTAAGCTAAGTCGCTTGGGTTACTTAATCTTTTAGTGCCTCAGTTTTTTTACTCTTAAAGAGGAGTTCAGACTTACCTTGTGAGGTTCTAGTGTTGATTAAATGTGTTATAATGAAATTAGCCAACTAGTGATTAACACATTGTATCACAAAAGCAATCACTATGAAGCTAGCAGTGTAGCTTAGCAGTAGAGTCCTTACTTAGCATGTTTGAGGTTCTATGTTCAGTCTCCAATGTCACATGTGCTCGCACACAAACCTGGTAAAGAACTGTTTAGAGCTGCTATCCCTATTTTATGATAGTTACTGTTGTTGATGGAATGGATGTTATGTGTGCTACATCTTAGATTATGGCAGGAAAGTGTTATTCTAATGCAAGTTCAAGGAGGCTTTCGAGGGAGGTTTTAAGAGGAGCAATGGGTATACCATATCTAGACTTGAGTCATGCATGGGCCAAGGATATTGATGTGATAGGTTTTATAAAGGATCTGGTGTGGTGTCCTTAAGAGCGATAGAAGGGAGTAAGAGATTCCAGCATGGGACTTCCAGGATCACATTTAGGTCTTAGAAATACAGTGCAGGGAGTGAACTATCAACAGTTGGGTAGAAGTTTAAAATAAGCAGAACAATTAAGCAACTATTTCTGTATTCTTGGTGTGATGGGAAGAGGTCCTCAGTAGGATAGGAAAGCTGAACTAACTTATTGGAAGAGAATTTTGAAGTATTTGAGAGCTAACACTTCATTGGCTTGGCTCTTAATGAAATGAGTTGACTCATTGGAAATGAAAGTGAGGGTGAACTTGGAAGGATGACTGGACCCTTTCTCTCAGATAGTTGTTAGATGATGGTCTCGATGATGAAGACCAGGAGCAAGGGTAGGGTCAGGTCGGGGTTCCCAAAGAATATTTAGATGATAATGGTCAAGGGGGGAAGATAGGAATGGATTTGAAGTTTGTAAGGTAGGAGGACCTAGGCTTTGTGTTTGTGGTGTGGCATGGTGTGCCAAAAATTGTAAAAGTGTAGTAAAGTGTTTGGGAATCCATTTCACTTGGAAAGAATTTGCTATGGATAACATTTGGGACAATGAAGTGGTCTATCAAAATAGAGGTTCATGAAATATTCATAGGCCTCAAGCAAAATTAATGTACCAACTATTAAAAACTACCGTGTACCTACATCATGTTGTTTTCTTCAAATTAGGTAAAATCACTTTGCTAATACTGGATGAAGAATGTGATGTTTTCTTGCTAATTTTTGATGCCATGCACAAATATTCAACCAATGATGAAGTTCAGAAACTTGGATGCAAGACTTTACATGTGCTGTTTGAGAGAGGTATTTAAACTTGTAAATTCTTTATTTTGAGGTATTCATAAGAAGAATGACCTGTACTAGAAAAAAATGGATATAATTGATGAGAAAAAAATCATTATCTACAATCATACTATTTATAAAGTGAAATAAACTTTCTTAGTTTCTTAGTGTGGTAATGTTGCTCCCTTCTGTGGTGTGATTTCACTCACAGGTTATTAATCATGTGGTTATAGTAGACTTCCTTCTATTGCATAACTGGACACGAGGCTCACTTTGCAAACTGGATTGTATGGGTTCGTAAGAAGAAAGCATTAAACTATAAAGTCAAGTACAGGTTAAAATGGGGTTATGCTTTTGAATCCCGTCAGACTTGAAATTGCTCCAGACTTTGTGTAGAGAACTGGGCCAGTGCTGAGTGTCCTTGAGAAACAAGACAGAGAGGCATTTCACAGCCAGCTTAGGAACTGATAACAGTTGATTGCAGACTATTTGAGCTAGTTTTGTCCAGTCCTTTGACTTACTTGTTGAGGAAATGGGTTGGATAATTGAGCAAGTGGTCTGAGGTTAGCAGTTAGCTAGCACACAGTGGTGGCTGCTGGTTTGGGGACCGAGGTCTTCAGTGATGCAGGCTTTGTATAGAAGAGTTCACTGCAGCGAAGAGCACAGAACTTCAGGTGTCTCAGGCTGTCTTCTCTGTGTTACATCTTGTACCTATGCTTTGATAAGAATTGAAGGATAAAATTTGAAATTTGTTGTCTCATGGACCTGCACCCTGTGTTTCTATTTGGACAATGCTTGCTCATGAAAGAGGGCTGTCACTATGCCCTCACAAGTGCTGTGTTTTCCCAGGATGGAACAACATAGACTACTGATTGTTAAACAGGAGAATCTTAATCCAAAGATCATTCATAAATACTCAGAATATATTATTATATCATACCATATTATATTATATATTTTATAAATATAAGAAGAAAACAATTTTTGATTTTTTTTCAGGAGGATCAAGTTTCCTGAGACAGTAATTTAGTTAATAAAGTTAATCTTGAAAAGTTAGTTAATAAAGATGGTTATCAAAACTTAAAAAGATTCTGTGAGAGGTATACTATTAAATGTAAAGATTTCATGGCATCTATCGATAATTAAATGAATCTAACAAGTTTCACATTATCTTACATAGACATGCTGATACACAACTGAAAAGATAAGATTGCTCTTAAGGAGCTGAATTTTCAAACATTTTGTTAGCACCATTCTTGCCCTAACAGACTGGGGTTTCAAATAGTTTTTGAAATTCCCACTTAATAAAGTGACTCCAAACGGAGTTCAACATATTCAAATTATAAAAGAATGTAATTGTATGTCAATTTTAAAAGATAATATCACTTACAAACGAATGGCAGTTTTTGATTTCTCATGGAAAACCATTAAAACAGAGTATTTTAAAGTTCTGTTACCATTTGCTGCCATCAACGACTTTTGAACCAACATGCTTAGCTGTGTCTCCCTTCAGCAGTCTACCATAAATCCCTGGCTTTTAAATATCAAAAATAGGAATTGGAGATATGGCAATTACTACTCATGCAGAAGACCCAGGTTAAATTCTAGCCCCTACACAGTGTTTCTTATAACCACCTGTAACTCCAGTTCTAGGGGAGCTAACTACCTCTTCTGGCTTTCTTGCATACTACAGGCATGTGCTGCACATACTGACAAGCAGGCACACACAATACAAATACTTTTTTAAAAATTAAAATAGAAATATAGTCATAATCAGCAGGTCAGTATTGTAGGATATTCATTTCTAATGAGTCATCTTCATTATCAGTAGCCGAGATCATAGTTGCTCATCCCAAAGGGTCGTCTTCATTAGCAGTGGGAAAGACTCATAGTATGTTCATCCCAATGGACCATCATTATTATCATCCATCAGAATCATAGAGTGTTCCTTCCAGTACCTCATCTTTATTGTGCTTATTAGGTTGCTGTAGACTTCCCCAAAGGAAATTGAAAATACTCCTTTTTTTTCTGAGAATTATTGGGTTCCTAATAATTTCTCATTTCAAACGATTATCCAACCAGTTCTAGACAGAATTATTTTGCTGTTTCAAACTAATTCAGTGTTTTAAATTTCTATGCCTTTGGGACAGAAAAACATTTTTATTGAGCATATTGTCTTTTGTGATGCTTTGTTCTTATAAATATATCTTTCAGGAATTAAAATTTTATGTCACCTTAAAGCATCTTCATGGTTTTTTCCCTTCCTGATTTAGTGTCAGAGGAACAGCTGATTGAGTTTGTTGAGAACAAAGATTACATGATACTACTGAGCACCCTTAGCAGCTTCAAAGGGGACCAGGAAATCGTGTTTCATGTGCTCTGCTGCCTTCATTCCCTGGCGGTTCCTTGTGAGTACCCTCTCTGCATGCTTTCTGATTTGCATGTGGAGTGATGCAATGTGTCTTTTTGGATTCTGTGTGCATGTGTGTGTGTGTGTGTGTGTGTGTGTGTGTGTGTGCGTGTGCGTGCATGTATTTGTGAGGTTCTGTGGATGCTAAACTTCTTCATTCATTGATTCATTGAATTAACTCATACTTATTCAGACTGTGCTGCATCCAGTTCTAGGCTTAGTGCCTGGAAACCGTAGTGAAAAGCTTAAATGTGTGCCTGGCCTCTTCTGAGTTCATGTATAGTAGGAGCCACGGATATGATCTCAGGTGAGGCCAGACATTCTAAGGCACAATTCCTATGGTTGGGAGAACCAATAGAACAAGGCCAAGCTCTTGAAAAGCCTTAAACGCTGGGAACTTAGCATGTAAGGAGGTGTGCTGTAGAACTAATACAGGGAAATGTTTAGGAGCTGGACACTAGGAACATAATATGTGGGGCAGCTGGGCCCATAGCTCAAGTGTGAAATATCAGCTACACTCAGTAGCTGTATTCAAGGCCTGCCTGGACAACTTAAGGGGACCATGTCTCAAATAAAATGAAGTAAAATAAAATATGTACTGAAGATGCAGCTTATTGGCAGAGTGTTTGCCTTATGTGAGGCTTTAAGGTGAATACCCAGTGCCAGAAAAACGAAACAAAAAAGATATGGAGCAGAAGAGTGGAAAATCACTCAGTAAACTCTGGTTTTATGAGCTTGTACGTGTGTGTGTGTGTGTGTGTGTGTGTGTGTGTGTATGAATGTGCGCATGTATGTATGTGATTGGGCACATGTATGTTTTCATGGATGTATGTCAGTCTGTACTTTGTGTACATGCATATATGTGTATACGTGTGTTTATTTGTGCATATGCGCTAGCATGGATGTGTGTGCACATAAATGTGTGCATGTTGTGAGTGTATATGTGTGTGTAGCCATATGTAAATGTGAATGTATGTGTGTGAGTGGGTACATGCGTCAGTGCATGAGTATGAATGTGTCCTGTGTGTCCATGCATCTGTGGGTAACTGTGCATAAGCATGTGTGTGTGTATCTCTGTGTGTCTGCATACAGAGGCATGCTTATCTCCAAATACCTGCAGGAACTGTTTTGATGGAGGTAGGACAAATGGGTGAGGGTGCAGACGGGGTGTGAGGTTGCGAGAGGCCAAAATAGCCACACAATAGGGGTTGAACTCTACAATTTTTGCTTAGCATTTATTGAGGATTTGAAATTTAGCTACGTTATCAAAATAAGTAGAAATCAGAAGAAATAATTTTCTGTACACACTACTGGTGATTACCAATTGGCTGCAATAGACTGTAGATTCTGTATTATAATTGCACACTAGCACTTCTTATTTTTCTGTGTGTTTGAGCCAGCTATAAACATGCATTCAATAGTAATGTTTTCATCCTCACACATGTAAAGTTCTCTTGTATTAAATTAGTAATTTATTGTGAAGAACATAAACAGTACTTGATATGTAATATGTATTACAAAACTGTTAACACTGTATGAATTTTCTATGCATACACATAATATATACAATATTATGTTACATATAATACATAAACAATACACATATGATATAGAAGTATGGTTTCAGGCACAACGGCATGAGACTTCATTGCGGCAGGGTCAAAAAAACAAATGCTCTTGGGAAAATGTTCTTTAATACGTTCATAAAAATACAGCATTTTCTTATCTACGGGAAATCAGTCAACAGAGGATGGGGCTGAATACTAATGGCAAAGCAGAGTGTCGCATCTTACATTTCTCTGAGTCATCGCTGACAGCGAGTCGGCTATTTTCCGCCTTGTCCTTTTCCTGAGCTCTGTTCATTATTCACTTATTTTGGGCCGATTGCTCTTGGAATCCATTGTCTTCCACCCACTTATGACATAAACCAGTTAAAATGTGTCGATTCATAACACAAAGGTCAAAGCCAGCAGCAGCTAACAATGCGGAATCGAGCGGCTTTCACAGCAGCTCTGCAGCGAAGGCTTTTTATCAGGCCCCTCCTTTCCTTCTTACACGCTTAAAAAATATGCTGGTGTTTTTACAATCCCATTTAAACATTACAATGTATTTTTTTTTAAACAAATAGTTCTAGCTATGCTCGGAAAGGTCTTTTACAGACAGGCACTTTTCTGTTTGGTGAGTAGTCAATATTACATTCAGTAACAGAAGTGTTTCCCCTGCAGGTTCACAGCAGGCTTCCTCCACAACTTCTTCCTTTCCCCACTGCCTGACTCATGTCAGCCCCTTGCTCATGTGCTTTGTCTTTGAATATATCTGTCCTTTGAATATCCTGCTGTCTGCCATCTCCAGGAAGCTCAAGGTCTCTGCCCCTTTGTTAGCTGTTCTTCTAGGATGAAGGAAATAAATCCAAGTTTATTCTCACAGTTCTAGTGGATGACATAATCTCGAGTTCTTTCCTTGGGTGAGGAAAAGACATTGCAGAAACTGTAATCAATGTCTTCAGCAGGATACAGACAGCTGAGCTCATTTATTTGAAATATAGTTGGCTGGTTTTAGACTTCTACAAAACCCTCATGTTTTTCCTTCTTTGTCTTAAATTATATGGATAAAACATTTTTACACACAATCTATTTTGATCACGTTTCCCCCTCACAACTCCTACCAGAACCCCCATACCTCCATACCCACCCAACTTTGTATCACTTCTCTCTCTCTTTCAAAACATCCTAATAAAAGTAAAAATCAAAACAAATAGGCAAAAGACAAAAAAAATGCCAAAACAAAACAAAATGTCCACAAGCATAGAGTTTGTTTTGTGTTAGCCAAATATTACTGGGCATGAGGCCTGTCCTCAAGTGACATATACCCAGTGACTCTCTATTGGAGAAAACTGACTTGTTTGTCAGTGATACATATTGCAAATAACTTCTTGGTTAAAGTGTGAGCCTGTCTCCAATTCCCCTTCTCAGTCCTGGGACCCCATCTAACTTGAACACATGCAGGCCTTGTGCACATCACAACAGTCTCTGTGAGTTCATCTGTCTTGTTGTGTCTGGAAGACCCTGTTCCCTTATAGTCCTCCATTACCTCTGGCTCTTCTCATCTTTCTTCTTTTCCCATTTAGCTCCCTGGGCCTGGAGGGGAGGGATTTGATGAAGACATCTCATTTAGGACAGCACGTTGGCTAGATTTATGTCAATTGGATACACATTAAACACATCTGAAAGGAGGGAACTCAGTTGAGAAAATGACTGTATAAACTATAAAATTGGCTATAGAGCAGTTTCTTAATTAGTGACTGATGGAGGAGGGCCAAGCCTATTGTGGGTAGTGCCTTCCCTGGACTGGTGGTCTTGGGCTCTATAAGAACGCAGACTGAGTAAGCCACAGTGAGCAAGCCACTAAGCAGCACCCCTCAATGGCCTCTGCATCAGCTCTGCCTCCAGGTTTGATCCTTTTATGAGTTCCTGTCCTGACTTCCTTCATTGATGAACTATGGTATGGAGGTATAAGCCAAATAAATCTTTTTTCTCTCCAACTTGTCTCTGGCCATGATGTTTAATCATAGCAATGGTATTAATAACTAGGACAGACTGAGTGCTTCAAAGTCATTCTCTGTGCATTGTTTACTTATAGGTCTCCATGTCAATTACCTCCTACTACAACAAGAAGCTTCTCTGATAAGTGTTGAATGAAACATTGATCTGTGGGTATAGCAGTGTGTCATTAGGAACCATTTTGTTGCTATGTTCTTTAGTAGAAGAATAGTGTTAGGTTTGCCCTTAAGTCCATGAGCTATCTGAACTCAGATTCTCGGCATCTTTAGGAGTGTCAGGTATGGGCTCCATCTCAAGAAGTGGGCTTTAAATCTAATTTTTAAAAAGTGATTGGTTATTCCCGTAACATTTGTGCCACTACTACGCTAGTATATCATGCAGTTAGGTCATTATATATTGTAGGGTTTGTGACTGGGTGATTTTGATGGCTATCTTTCTCCTCTGGTAGCATGCAGAATGCCTTCTAGTACCATGAATGGCAGTCAGTAGAGACAAACTTTTAATTAGGAAGTGGTTCAACTTCTCCAAGTTTGATGACATAGGTAAAAGTTATCTTCAGCAATAGGGCCTTATCATCAGGTTGTAGAGAGCAACCAATAGTGTTGACAACAGCCTATGATGTCTGGTAAATGTCCCTTTGGTAAATGATTGAACTACAAGTAACCCATTCCTGGCACTGGAGGACACTTCATTTGCCTGAAAATTACTTACTTTCAATTTCTAAACAACTGAATAATATTCCATTGTGTAAGCATATCACATTTTCGTTAACCGTTTATCAGTTGATGGACATTTAGGGTATTTACAGTTTCTGCATCTCATAAATACAGCAACAATGAACATGGATGAGCAAGTATTTCTCTAGTAGGAAATAAAATTCTTTAGGTAATACCTAAGAGTGATATAGCTGTATCTTGTGATAGATTTATTTTTATCTCTTTAAAGAGCTGCCACACTGATTTCCATAGTGGCTATATGTGTTTACACTACCACAGCAATGAATAAATGTCCCCCTACCTATATCATTGCCCGTTTGTGGTGTTACTTGTTTTTAATGATCTTAGTCATTCTGATTTGGGTATGACTGAATCCCAAAATAATCTTACTTTGTATTTCTATGATAACCAAGGATGTTTAAAATGTCTTTAAGTGTTTCTTGGCCATTTATGTTTCATTATTTGAGAAATCTTTGCATAGTTTTATACCCCCATTTTTAAATTGTCATGTTTCTTTGATATGCATGAATTTTCTTAGTTCTTCATATAATTTGGATGTTAGCCCTCTGTTGAATGTACAATCAGTAAAGATATTTTCTCATTCTGTACCCTGTCACTTTGTCCAGATGATAGTGTTATTTATCATACACATTTTCAACTCCACGAGGTCCTATTTATTAATTGTTCTCAGCTTTTTTGACAATTCTGTTCAAAAAGTCATTCCCTGTGCCAATGAGCTAGGACTATTCCTACTTTCTCTTCTATCAGATTCAAGGTATCTTGTCTTACATTGAAATCCTTGACCCATTTGGTATTGAGTTTTGTGCAGGGTAATCCACAGGCATCTGTTTTTATTCTTTTATGTGCAGCTGTCCAGTTTTGTCTACACTATTTATTGAAAATGCTGTATTTTTTCCAGTGTGTGTTTTTGACTTCTTCATCAAAAATCATGTATCTGTATGTGTTTAGATTTATATCTGTGTCTTCAATTCAATTCCATTGATTAATTTGTCAGTTTCTATGTTAATGCTAATACCATGATGTTTTTATTACTATAGCTCTGTAATAAACTTGCACTCTGGGATGGTGATATAGCAGCAGTTCTTTTATTATTAAAGATTGTTAGCTATTTTGCTGTTTTTGTATGTTTCCATTAAAGTTTCAGTTTTTGTAAATAATTGTGTTGGAATTTGATGGGGATTACATTTAATCTGTAGATTGCTTTTGGAAGAATGGTAGGATAGTTTATAAAATATTAATCCTTCAGATACCTTAAAAATTTAAAACAAGGAATGAAATAAGAATAATTTATGCTTGTGCCAAAGCTAAATTCTACATCTTGTTGTATTAGCAACTAACAACATAGAACATCATATCTATATGATGGAACAGGCTGTTTGCCTCTGGATCTTTACCTATTACACTATCTATGCAATACTAATTTGTATGCATATTTTAAAGAAAAAACATACTGTTTTTGGTGATTATGATTCTTTTTTAATTCAGGCAGCAATGTTGAAGTCCTCATGAGTGGGAATGTCAGGTGTTACAATATTGTGGTAGAAGCCATGAAAGCATTCCCTGCCGATGAGAAAATTCAAGAAGTGAGCTGCTCCTTGCTCCATAGGCTAACATTAGGTGAGTTTTAATTCTTCATTTCTTATCAGAACCTATATAGTATATATGCACGCAGCTTCCATGCATTCTATGCTAATGAATAAGTAGCATCTTGATAAACACCTGGTAGAAATATTGCAAAGTAGCAAATAGTTATAAAAGGAACACAAAAAATAGACAGCTGGTATTAGTGAGAAGTCTGCATTTTCATTTCTGAAGTGATCTCCAGGAAGTATGTTTTTTTGGGGGGCTGTATTGAAACTATGGTTGCTAACTAAAAGAGTAAGTAAAAATTATGTTGAAAATATGAAGCAGAAAGCCCAAAATGATCTTATCACTCAACTTAAGAATTACTGTATTGCCAGGGCTAGAAAATGTTTCTTGTCCTCATAAGTTTTATATGTGTGTGTATAAATATAAATAAAATTAAACTTAGGTACACAGGGTCTCTAGAGCACACTGATTTTAATCTGTGGAGTATGTATCCAAAGATGCACAGCCTGTCAAATGTAAGATATATATGTAAAATATAATAGACCATATGATGAGAATATGAGATTGCCTATGGTTTTCTGTTACATTGGTTAATTTGACTTCTCTGGATCAGAACTCTAGGATGGTCTCTAAGATCTGATATCTGAAACACTAGAAATTTAGGTGCCCACAAATGCCTCTTCTTATGCCCTATGTCTGGGCTTTTTATTGGCTCATTATTATTCTATACAAACTTGAGAATTTATTACTCCTGTTTAAAGCTATAGCAAAATTTGTACAGAAATGACAAAAATGTATGGATTGTGTTATGAAGAGCTGATGTCTCTAGTCTTTGCAGGTTTCCTATATCTTCATTGCTTATTTATAGGTGCTCAGATTTCATTATAATCATAATTGGCATCTGTTTTGAAATTATGCCTGTGAACTGTGCCTACATGAAGAAATGAACATGATTTTATGTGTCTTTTTTTTTAATTCCTGATAATTTTTGAAGCATATAAGTAGATTATGTAAGTTAATGGCTTGTGAACAGTGGTGCTCTGTGCCCATCCATCCCACTCATTATGTCGGGTACTTCTCTGCCTTCTTGCATGACCCAGAATCCCCGGCACAATCCTGAATGAAGGCACTGTTTGACACTATCCTTGTACTCTTCTGATCTTAGAGATAAAAACTTTGAATATTCTTTCATGCAGAATAATTAGTGTCACGATTTTTATAGGTCAAAATCTAACTTGTTTTATGACATTTTTTATCAAGTTTAGAAAATTTCCTCTGCTTATTGCTTACTTCTGTTTTTACATCTGCCACTTTAAAAAAATCAGAAATGAGCACTGAATTTTATTAAATACCAAACAATAAATGTAAAGATTTTTCTTTTGGTGTTGTGGAATTAAATCTATAGATTTTCAAACAACAATCCATTATTCCCAGAGGAATTTTAATTTGGTTATTTATTTAATTTTAAAAATACATTTCTGATAAAACTCTTAATTTTGGACCTGCACGTTAACTTTGACTGCCTTTTTGGTTTGCTTTTGTTTTATCATCCTCCCTTTTACTTATTAAAAATACTTGTTTATTTATTTAATCATTGATGCAGTTATTTTGTATTGCATTTCTGGTATCTCTAAATGATCTGTGAGATCTGTGGACATCTCGGCTTCCATGTTTATATAAGGGCAGTCACTGAGACTCACTTTCTGTTGTTGCTGTGAGTTTCTCCTCTGTGGAACTCAAGAGCTGAGCGTTCCAAAGCCTCCCATTGCAAATGCCTCTCTGGTGACATTTGTCAGGGTCAGAGCACAGGAGTGACAAGGATTGCTTTCTGCTGTGAAGCTTCAGACCTTCGCCTTGGAGAGAACAGAGAAGAGAAACTTTCCCTCTAGGCTGTACTTGCAGGCTCACTTGCTCTCACCTCACAGATCTCGTGCCTCTCTGATGACATCACAACTTCTCTGAGATGGACACCCCGGGTATTTTTCTCAACACTTTTATTAACAGAATAATGGACTAAAGATCAAAGTAAATAATGGGGCAGATAAAATAGCTTATTTACTGTTGGAGACTGACTCTGATGGCGTTTCTCCTAAATGATCATCAGCAACATTTATGCAAATTTAGGCTACCGTAACAGAGATTTAGCTTTCTGTCATCCTAATTTTGAGAAGGCTCACTCAGCCTTTAAAAATCTTTATTCTTATGATTTAATTCTACAGAGTTATGCTTTTCATTGTCCACGATCACCATTGTGTCTCCTGTGTAACTTAGAAATTGGCTTAATGTTTAGGAGAGCTCCTTGGTAGATTCAATTAAAAATGAGTTTCTAAAATTTGAGTTATAGTCTTGTACACAGCAATTAGTTGGTTTCTTTCCTTTATGACCAATTATTTAAAATTATATGTTTAGACTGTCAGATATGACTATGTAATCATGTTCACACCTACTTTCACAGGTCCCAAAGTCATTTCATTGACTTTATATTTATCCATATAAACTTTTGGTCCATGGCTTTGTCCTCATTGTTGGAATATTGTTGTCAGCCCCACATTTCCATGAGGGTCTCTGACTCAGCAGCCGTGTGTCTCATCCTGGATCATGCAGCCAGTGAAGGGGAAGCTTAGGCTTTGAACATAGCTGTGTACATCACTCTCTGGTTATCAGAGGCTGGTGAGAGCAGGAGACAGTGGAGGAGTCAATCAGTGAGTTCTGAGCTCTGGTTAGAGGGGAGGAAGAACTGTGCTGTGCTGTTGTTCAGTGTGATAAGTTGGACAGGGATAGTGTGCTGTGGGCATCAAGAAACTAGAACAAATGAACGTAGGCTTCCCCTGCAAGGAACTCATTAATGAGAGGAGATAGGATGAACACTTGTCTTGATTGAAGCATTGTACTACATCAAAACAGAAAATAGTAATCCAAGAGGTGTCTATAATTTTTTTGGCTTTAGTCTCTGTTGAAAATATATTTAAAGAATTTACCATAAATTAAATATTAAAATGATAATGAAACAACAAAGTATCTCTGGTGAAGCACAGCGGTCACGTGCTGGCCTGTGCCTTTATATGGGGAGATGGTTGCAAGTTACATTTCAAGAAGGGCACAGGTGTGTAAGCTGGTCGACCCTGAGAATATTGTGATAACTCAGAACACTATAGTGCCACAGGTAAGAGATGCCCACTCATCTCTGTGTTATGAGTTGAGGCGTCACAGCTGATTTAAGCAGACACCTCTTTGGTCCTTCTCAACCAATGTCATCTAGTAGGGCAGACAACAGAAGGAACCAAAGTTTCAAAAAGTCACTTTGATTTAATTATGTCATATATTGCTGATTTAATATATTGGGCTATGCCATTAGATCGATTTATTGATTTAACCACTGCTGTGTAAGGAAATGCATTTTAAGGTGTATGGCTGAGAGTTTATATAATGTCTCACTTAACCTTAGGTAATTTCTTCAACATCTTGGTGTTGAACGAAGTACATGTCTTTGTGGTGAGAGCTGTCCAGCAGTATCCAGAGAATGCAGCCTTGCAAATCTCTGCCCTCAGCTGTTTAGCACTCCTCAGTAAGTCATATGACTAATGAAGAATTTCTTTTCTCTCTTTAAGTGCTGAGAATTAAATCAGAGCTTCATATCTACCAGTTGAGGAAACGTCCATGGCACCAACAAGCATGGGTTTTCATGTTCATATGGGATGACAAGAACCAGATGATAATTTTAGCTGACCCTACTCTAGTTTGGTAGGGTGATGGTACCCACCTTCTCTCATTATGAAAGAGCAGAGTTATGACATGTTTAAAATATTAGAAATTGCTTCATGATTAGCTGGTATAGGAGAATGGTCTGTATTCTGTCAATTATATTTTAAATAAACACTGATTGGCCAGTAGCAAGGCAGGAAGTGTAAGCGGGACAACTAGACAGGAAGTAGAGGCAGGTCAATGAGAACAGAAGAATTCTGGGAAGGAGGAAGCCCATTCCTCTGTAGTCCTGATCCATCCACAGAAGAAGCAAGATATGACTGTCTTGCTGAAAAAGGTACTGAGCCATGTGGCTAACACAGATAATAATAGGCTAATATAAGTTATAAGAGTTAATAAGAAGCCTGAGCTAATGGGCCAACCAGTTTATAGTTAATGTAGACCTCTGTATGATTTCTTTGGGACTTAACGATTGCAAGAACTGGGCAGGATAGAAAACCAGACAACAATTAGCCAAGGCAGTTGGTAAAGAACATTCAAACACTGCATGTAGGCTTGGCCAGTCAAGCTGTTTGTAAAAATATACATGTAAGGGCTGGAGAGATGGCTCAGCGGTTAAGAGCACTGGCTGCTCTTCCAGAGGTCCTGAGTTCAATTCCCAGCACCCACATGGTGACTCACAACCATCTGTAATGAGATCTGGTGCCCTCTTCTAGCCTGTAGGCATACGTGGAGGGAGAATGTTGTATACATAATAAATAAATGTTTAAAAAATATATCCATGTAAAATACATATACACTTAACTTTTTTTTTTTTTAAAGCTGAGACCATTTTCTTAAACCAAGACTTGGAGGAAAGAAGTGAACCTCAGGAGAGCAACGATGAGGAGGACCCTGAGAAGCTGTTCTGGTTGGAACCCTGCTACAAAGCCCTGACGCGCCATAGAAAGAACAAGCATGTGCAGGTCGGACATTTAGTCACTGCCCTGATTTCATAAAAGGCTTTCCAATCATTTCTGTTCTGATACAATTTTTCTTCTTCTTTCCTAATCTAGGAGGCCGCGTGCTGGGCACTAAATAATCTCCTTATGTACCAGAACAGTTTGCACGAGAAGATTGGAGACGAAGATGGCCAGTCAGTGCTTTTACTTGACTATAGAAAACCTGGGTTCTGTTTCAGCCAATGCATAGATAGATACTGTCATTGATAGTTTTTTTTTTTTATGTCAGTATTTAGGCATCAGTATTGCTACATGTTAGTGGTGGGAATATGATCTTATCTAGTTTTCCCACAAGAGACGGTCTTACAGCATAACCCACGTTGGAACCACAGGCCTCTGCATCTACGCCTGGTGAGGTGTACAGGATTTAAATATCTACTGAGGCGTAAGAGTGCTTTAATCTCTACTCAAGGATTTGGGATCATGAGTCATTCCACAGTTTGTGAATCCTGGAGAATGAACCCCTCAGTTTGCTGGCTGACCAGGTACAAACGCATGTTCATTCATGCCAGCTGAGTACTAGGGTTCTGCCACCTGCCAGCAGGTTGGCTGAGTTAGAAGCAGCCTCTGGCAGGTCCAGCGTGATACAGCAGTGTGGACCTGTCCACTGAGAAGCCTCTTTGCATAATGGCCCACTGCTGGAAAACAGTGAATTAACGAAGCAGATGTTACTTAAACATCTGGAGAAGAAAACTGATATATCAGGATCCAAATGATCCCACGTGAGCAACCTTTTCAGGAACATTCTGGTCAGGCTGACTCAGGCTGCAATTTATACGTCTTAATCCACAGCACACGTTATCCTCAGCACTCTGGAGATCTTCCCAGTACATATATTAGGAAAAGAAAACACATTTATTTCCTCTGTTCTTGGAATCTGCTCTGTTTCTTTACTATATTTATTTCCCCCTTTCTGTCCATCATCCTCATTTCCTCATTTTATGTTTTTCTTCCTAGCACCTCATCTTTTAAAGATTACTTTCTGCTAGTTTATGGCTCCTCTGATGACCCACCCCTTCCCCTCATCCTGTTTTGTGGGGCAGTGCTCACTGCATGCTCTAATTCCTTTCTTTATATTTCATGCACCTACGATATTAGGAAATGTACGACATCTATTGCACGAGGCATGGCTTGGTTGTCACAGTCTACTGCGACATCCTTAGCAGAAATTGCTTGGTCTGCATTTTCATTCATCCGCAGTCAAAATTAGTCCAGGACATGAAATGGAAAACTCGAGAAGGGAGCAGTGCATATGGTTTACTTTGGGCCCCTCTCTGAGAACCAGGAGGAAATCCTGTGCTGTCTGGTCTATTCCTCCTGGGATGTAACCTCTCTCTGTTTATATGTCCACCCTGTGTGATTCCATAGTGACTGAGTAGCTGTCCATCCCTCATTCTATGTCTATAAAGCCATGTGCCCTTTGTATGGCTTACAGGCTTTTGAAGAAACAGAAATGTTAGTGTTTGCTCTGCTTGAATCTAACCTTTACTTAGAGAGTTCTTCAGCTTGTGCTTTTTTTCGTGAGTGGAGGTGGCAAAAGCTCAGCTTCCTGGCCCGCCTGACAGAGTTCATAGGCAGGGTGAGCATGGGAGCTGGAGACGGCAAACTGAGCTGTGGTTGGCTTTTTGACAGGTTCCCTGCACACAGGGAAGTGATGCTGTCCATGCTGATGCATTCTTCCTCCAAAGATGTCTTCCAAGCAGCTGCGCATGCACTCTCCACGCTCCTGGAACAGAATGGTAAGACAGAGACGATGGGCTTTAATACAGAGAAATGATTTTGTGCTGCTCTTCCCTTATAGAAGCTATAAGTTCTGAAAAAGTCAAATATAAAGAGATGGTAGGTATGTTTATAGAGGAGTGTATACAGATGTGTGTATGTTGCTAAAGAATAAAAAATAATGCTTTTAGATATATTCTTTAGAACTTCTACAAATGTACTCATGACATTAATGCTATATATTTGTAGAAATTGGAACATATATCCATTTTTAATACATTTTATATTTATTAATGTTATCATTGCCATTTTAATAGCTGTATAGCTTTCAGAGATATATGTATAATATATGATACACACACACACACACACACACCTATTTTAGGAACCAGTTTCTGTTGATTGACTTTTAGCTTACTATGAGAATTTTTGGAACCCGTATAGGACCTTTTTTCCTCTAAAAGAGATTGCCCATTTTCCAGTAAATATTTATTCATATTATTGCTTTATATGAACTTTATAGAGGCGAGACCGATGAGATATTCACCATTTCAAAAACTAGTAAAAGTTATCCAAAATAAAATGTTTATAGTTATATTTTTTTTAAAAAAATCGTCTTTTCTGTTTAATTTTTGTATTATAGTTTTGTGTACTTATAGAGAGGAAGTGGCTCATATACCTTGGAAGGATTTTTAAGCTTTAAAATCCTGGCTGCTTCAGATTCCTGGCCCCATAAACAGGAAAATTTGCCAGGAAAACTCATCAGGCTGCGGGACTTGGCAGCTCTTATAGGATATTTTTAGGCAGTGAAACAGGAAAAAGACGGAAGATTTATCTGAGACACAGTAGTATGCGCATCGTATTTTAGTAACCAAGCCAGGGAAGTGAAAACTACAATACCTCCTGCATGCTTCTCTGTGTTATCCTTTATGTCAAATCAGGAGGAAAAAGTTTCTCCTGTATATTTTCTCCGATCTCTCTGGTGGCATTTTAATAAAATGAGAGTGTAATCAAATGTATTACATTTATGTGTGAAATTGTTAAAGAACAAAATGAATTAGTCAACAAAGAATCTGGCACGTTATATAAAGGCTTGGGGTAGACAGGTCCTGAGTGATGACAGGGCCTCTCCCAGGACTGAGTCATCACAGGAGCTGTGGAGGTCTGGACAGGGCTTGCATTGCAGATGCTGTGCTGGTGTCCCCAGAGGAGATGAGGATTGCCACCAAGCAGCACAGTGTGATGGCGCTGCCATTTGTAACTCTTTGGAAACTAGGTTAGGTCACATTCAGTCATCAAGATTTTGTGACTTGGTGTTGCTTTGGTTATGGCTTCTGAGGGGCAGTGACCTTGTGAGTCAGCTTGATGCCTGTTGGAAATCAGTTCCAGCCTTTAATATGCTGCCCCACACCCTTGCTCCAGGCCACCTGCTGGATGAGCCTTTCTTTGATGCCCTTGCATGCCCTGAGCTTTCTAGTATAATGGAGGGGGAGGATCTCCAGCAGCCTCCTTCCTCAGCTTCACCACTAAGTCTCTTGGGATAGTGACTGTGAAGGGTGAAGGAATTAGACAGATTGGTGACTCGGGTCTACAATCCCAGCACTAAGGAAGCTGAGGCAGGAGGATTGTGTACTCAGGGCCAACCTGGACTACTGGATCTCAGAGAAAAAGAAAAGAAAAAGAGGAAGAAGTAGGAAGAAGAAGTAGAGAGGAAAAACTGCGGTCTTGGAACCAGGGAGATTTGAAGGCATAGGTATATCTTTCATGATAATTTCCTCATTTAATTAATCAGTTAATTTAATTGCAAAGTACCAAACTCATATTATGTGCTAGAGACCAGACAGTCTAGGCCTGTGTGGTTTGCCAGTTAAATAAAAATTCTAGGCACATAGAATCAAACTCTTGGGGAAGGCAGACAAGAAGCATAACTAAAGAATGTGAAATGTGAGGTAGCTAGAACAACAATTAAACTATGAAGGAGGGTATTAGGAATCAGAGGAAATAAATGTTGAATTGGCAGTCAGTAAACTACTGTAAGAGTTTGCGTTTTGTGATTTGCCTTTGAAAGCAGATAATTTTCTGCTGAGATGGAACAGATGAAGACCAATAATGTTTTGCAAAAGTAATGGGAAAACATGAAAATGTTCTGTAGACTTAGAATGGATGTCATGATGCCCACCTTCTCCCAGTCGTGTTTGCCATGTTTGAGTTCCTCATTGCCTTGCTGTGGGTACATTCTGAAAATGTGCTCAGGTCGAACTAACGTATTACACAAGAACTCTAAAAATCTCTGAGTTCTACACAGACCAATCCAGTCATAAGCTCTGGAGTTGGTACCCAATGATCTATGTCTGAACAAGCCTTTCAGGGAAGTCTAATGCACACTGGTGTCTCAGGACCACTGGACTAGACATTTCTCCTTGGTTAGGATATAGGCACTCTGGAGGAGATATGAAAACTCATTGCGTATTTTAATGCATGATGTTCTGGATGTCTTGGGAGGTCTGACTTCAGGTTTTGATTTTATTTTTAAATGCGTTTTTATTATCTTTTTTTTAATCTGTTTTTTTTTTCTCCTTGGGATTGACAACACTTTTTATTTATTTGGTTTTTGAGACAGAGTCGCATTGTTTAGTCCAGATTGGACTTGAACTTGTTATGTAGTCTAGCTTATCCTCAAACTCTCCATTGTCTTGTGTCAGATCCCCAAGTGATGGGATTATAGAAATATATTATGCCTGAATGGCAATGCTTTAAAAAATCAGAGCTCAAGTTAAAAATCTCTAAAGCTTCCCCTGTATGTCACTTTGAAAACATTAGATTATGGTTTATAATGTTGGAATTGATATTTCTGTGAAGGCTTCAAGGCAATTAATGCAAAATACTTCAAGGCACTGGGTTAGAGTATAGTGAAGGACTTCACTGTGAGAAAAGGTTACTACATGGCAGTCTTCCTGCAATGTAGGCTTTCTGTATACATACTATAAAACTAGCTCTCAAAGCTATGGTACTGGTCACTAAATATAAGAGTCACTCTGTGAAAGCCATCTGTGTGATCAACACTATCTACCAATGTGTGCATGATTGAATCCATGAAATTGATATTTTCAGTCTACTGTAGGAGATGTACAAAGTAGTTAGAGCATTCCAGACCTGGCCATTTCCCTACTCCCCTCACTAGTGAGCTATGGTCACTGACTCCATACAACAATATGTGTGGTCCTTCTCCCCAAGCCTGCCCCTGGCTTCCATCACCAATGGATGGATGGCCTGCATCTCTAGAATGTCTCTAATCTACTCACTGACATCTATCCTACTAATGAATCATAGCTCTATATAAGTCTGTCCATTTTTGAAGTTTAAAGATTAAAAGGACATTTAATTTTCATTCTTATTATGAAGAGTATTGTTTATATACATTTTCCTACAAGACATTTCTTTCTTATAGGTTTTAATATACTGATTACATTATTACCAGTCTACTCTATAAATAAAAAATTAAATGGAAATAGATAATAAATATGGAAAGCAGAGAATGGCATATATTTGTAACAAATAAGCAGATATTAATGATCTCTAAGCAGACAGTGCAATACACAATATGCTATATGTGTTCTTGCAAATGTATGCTTCCATTTCTATAAGTAACTTGAAGAACACCTTATAGTTAATTTTAGAAGAATCCTGCTGGCAAAAGGAGTATACCTGAATGTCTTGGAGTTGATGCAGAAGCACGCCCTTGTTCCCGAGGTGGCAGAGAGTGGCTGCAAGATGCTGAGTCACCTGTTTGAAGGAAGGTACTGCATGTTTGTGAGGTGTTATACACATGTAGGGGCCACCGAGACAAGTGGAATGGTATCAAAGCATCTGTAGAAATGGGAGTCTAAACACAGCATCTGAGCACAGACCTCTTGTCATCTGTCACTGATAGCATAGACTTATTTTATCTAAGCATTAAAAAGGGCAACAGGGATTGCAGAAATAAGACTAAGGTTTTCTTCTGTGCTTCATGCATGGTGTTAACTGTTTTGAGAATGATAATCGTGCAGCAAAACTGATAATAGCTTTTCAAATCATGGTATAAATGTGATTATATAAAAATACAAAAACATGCATTTTGGAATTACTGTTTTTCAGAATTAAAACACTATTTATTAATATTCTTCCATGTGAGTTAACTTTGGCTTCTCTGCTTCCTCTCATTCCTTTCCCAAATGTACTCATTGTCTTATGAGGTTCAAAACCAGCCTTGCTGACACTGTGTCTGGTGAGTGGCACAACTGAGGCCAGATATTATTATCTGTGCTAGAAATAGCAGGAGGGGACTAGAGGTTTGCAAAACCTGACAAAAATCTCAAGCAGTTGTCCCTTCCACTAAGTATATGCTTAGTGTATTATCTCATCCTATTGAGCCAAGAATGTATGATAATGTGGCATTATTTGGTTGATAGCAAATCAAAGGCAGTTGTACCAGAAAAAGATATAAGTACAGGTGTTGAGGCTTAGATGGATTTGGTGTCTTGGATTGCTATTGGACACTATTGCTAGGGAGAAATAAACAAATGTCTGCTTACCCCAGATAGGGACTCTACAACACACCAAGTCAGAATACCACCAAAGTCCAATTTGGTGAACCAATGCGTTTTGCTGGTGTTACTCATAAGAATATGGGTGAAGAATTACTTACTGGGATAGAAACGGCTCAGAGACAACTGCATCACCAAAGCCAACCCCAGTATGGGTGACAGCTCAAGAAAGCTGGGAACCTGGAACATACTGCATGGCCTACAGGCAGCTCAACACATTGGAGATTGTCCCTCCCAAGTGACTGAGTTGGTCTAAAGCTCTTCCAGGCAGCTGGGCTAGTCTGGGAGTCCTCTGAACAGCTCAGCTGGAATCTGTCTCTTCCAGGAGTCTTGGCTGCTGTGAGAGACTTGCTTAGCAATCCTTACAGCTTATATAGTCGTGGAGACAGAGGAGTCTCATGGATGTAGTCAATTTCAGGCTTCCTGAAGCTTGCTTAGTGAGCTTTCCCTCAGGGTGGGATGCTTTTTACCTTTTGGTAGAACATACAGTGTCTTGACAAGCATCTTTCTAGATGGAGGTTTTATCTCAGAGGAAGTTGAATGGATTTCTTTTACTAATACATGAACCAAGGATTGAATGGTTAGATTTCAGAATTTATCTAAAAAAGTAAAAGGATTAAATAACAGTGTCAGAAGATAAGAGTTATGACAGAAAGATTAAATACATTTATTTTCATAAGGGATTAAGATAATGCCCAGTGAATTTTAAGTTGTCAGTAAATCCTAGCTGTTAGCAATGGTGTTGTTAAATGCACATAAGTCGTGCACATTTTGTCTTCACTTGTAAAGAGTAGAGTTACACTGTCCTGAACACAAGTCCAGCTAATTTACCCTTATAAATCTGTCTCATTTCTCATCTTTAAATATGGCTTTTAAAAGCCTAGTTGAAATGTTTCAGCGTTGTTTTTGATGGTGCTGAAAGTGAGTGATAAGGTTTCAGTCAACAAGGCACTGTGCAAGGCAGACAGCCATCCTGCCTTCCAGACTGGCGTGTTTGCTCACCTGTGACAGAAGAGAGGCACAGATGCCTTGGAGAAGCCACAGGTTTAACGTAAACTAATGAATTATATGTAAGAATTCTGGTGAAGCCCCTGGTGTGATGCAGGAGTCCTGGCCTTGGCTTTGCCTCTTTCTAGCTAAGGGACTTTGGTAATTCCTCCTCCAAACAAGTTCTTCATCTGTAAAGTCTTGAAGTGACCCCATCTTTCAGAGCTGTTGCCAGTGTTCCACAGACTGGTCAGAAGAAAGGTGTCATTGTTCTTAAAACTAAATCAAAAGAGCTCCAAATTCTAATTCTTGAGATCAGAATTTAAACACTTGCAATTTTGGTTGAGTTCAAATGTATGTATATCTATGTTTTATGGCTTTTCCTGGTAAAATGCATTTCTTCTGTTTTCCTAGTTTATTTCAGTTTGGTGTTTGTACATATGCCCCAAATTGTATTTTTTTTAAATAAACACTTTATTTTCATTCCTAGTAACATTTCCCTGGACACAATGGCCGCAGTGGTCCCTCGAATAATAGCAGTGATGAAAACCCACGAGACTTCTCTGTCAGTGCAGCTGGAGGCACTGCGAGCCATTCTGCATTTTGTAGTTCCAGGTGAGTCACAGAATCGATCGTATGTAGAGGCCATGAAACATTGGCTTTCTAGGCACAGCTTAAAGAACCAAATTGTGATAACCAGAGGCAGGTCTTTCTGCTAAACTGACGATGAAATTCATGAGAAAGGGTGAAGTAGATGAGTCACTAAGATTAATTTGTAAGGCAACTTCATAAAAATATTTAATCCATAATTTACATAAGAAATAAACACAGTGTAAAAAGTGGACCTGCTGTCTCTAAGGACAATTCTCTTGCCATCAGTCAAGTTGAAGTTCAAGCTAACACAGAGTATTTCTCTTTCACATTTCCAGCCTTTGCCTCTGTGGTTTAGTTGGCTTTTCCCTGGCAGAGCCACATGACCCTTACTCATGAACTTCAATGACCTCCTTCTGTCATCAGCCTTACTCTTGTTGTCACTGTGTTTGTCCTTCTAGCCCCACATTCTCTCTACACATGCTTATTAAGTCCCTCCTGTTCTGAACACTGCCCTGCTTTACTGGGTCAGATGCTGAGATTACAGGAGTTTAATAAACCGTTAATTGCCACAGAGAGAGAAGGTCCACTATAGACAAATGCAGGGCACGGATGACACTAATGATGGCCCTAATGTCTTCAAAGCAGAATGGAGGTCAGAGATTAGATGTCTGTGGTTGAAAGGTGAGTCAAAGGCCAGGAACAACTCTCAGGAGAAGGGACATACATGTACACATCGTCTGGGGTAATTGAAGACAGCAAAGGGAAGGTGTGAGCCCGAGTATGGGAGGGTAGACAGACGTAGAAAGTGAAGGACCTTAAGGGCAATGCTGAGTGGTTGTGCTTTAGGGAAGAAAACCAAAGTTTCACAATTAAAAGTAAGCTTTTGTTCAACATCCCATTGATGTTTAGAACACTCTATTACTGAGAATTGGAGGACTATTTTCATTCTGTTCATTTATTTTCAATCTAGTAGTAAAGCATTCTTTTTGATTGAGGAAGGTGTGTTATAGAAGTTTGAGTCAGATTAGTTGCTGCATTTCAATATTTTCATATATACATGTGTTTTCCCATTTTGATTGTAAATATAATTTTAAATGTGAATTTTAAAACTTTTTAGATTATTGAATTATCTATATTTACACTTTTGCTTTTATAACTCTAAAATTATATAGATATGTGTGTGCATATATCCATATATATGAATATGTATATATAAATACACACACACACTCACACACCATTAGGGAATGAAGAGCTTGTATCACACAACTCTGATACCAAGCGGTAATACAAATGACTTTCAGAACTATATAAAGTATGCTTTGTAGACCAGGCTAGCCTTGAACTCACAGAGATTGCCTGCCTCTGCTTCTCGAGTGCTGGAATTAATAGCATGTGCCACCATCTCCAACTTAACCAATTCATTTTTTAATCTTCAGTGCTCACAGTTTATTCCTTTGAAGGTGGATGGATTCTTAGAGAGCAGCAAAAACAACGTAGAATCATGCCTGCTCATTAAAGCAGCAATAATCTTTTAGATCAAAAAACATACTTTGAATATACACCTTTTTGTTAAAGATTTTCTGTGTATGCATGTGTCCCCAACTTTTTTAAAAGTGTACCATATACACACAATGCCTGTGGACACCAGTGGTAACAGACAGTGGTTAGCTGTCTAACATGAGTGAACTGAGTCTGAGTTCTGTAGTCAGACATTTCTCTCCTGCCTGACAGTTCCCAAAGAACCACTTAGAAGCTTAATATTAATTACAAATGCTTGGCTGATAGCTCAGGCTTGTTACTAGATAACTCTTATCCTTAAATTAACCCATATCTTTTATTTACATTCTGCCACATGCTCATGGATTGTTACCTCATTTTCTACATATCTTGCCTCCTCGATTGCTGATTGGTGTCACCCTCACTCTGCCTGTCTTCATCCCAGCATCCTCAGTTTGACTGTCCCTCCCTAACTATATCCTGCTTGTTATAGGCCAATCAGATTCTTTATTGACCAATGAGAGTAATACATATTAACAGTGTACAGAAGGATCATTTCCACAGCATGGTCCTCTGGAAGAGTGGCAAGTGCTCTCAATCTCTGTGCTGTCTCTCCTGCCCTGTACTTTCTCTTAGAATGACTGGGAATTGACCCTGAAGCAGCATAACCTAGTCAATAGTTAGTTAGATGATTATTGATGCTTTTTAAAATGATGAGACTTTAAGGCCATACTATATAAATATAAATACATGTCAGGAAACACATCATTATGTGTGCACACTAACATGCATGGCATTACCATCTGTCTCTACTCTATGTGTCTACCATTCTTCTTTGCAGTACCTAGATGATAAAACTAAGGTACACAGACAGAAATATTTTGGAATATTTCAACTGATGCTGCCTAACTCTACCATATGTTAGTGTCAGACTCTCATATCACTGATACTCTGAAGCACTGCGCTTGGACCCTTAGACATAGGGAGATGGCTATGGGCCTGCCACTAAATGTTCATAGTGCACACAACTTGCAGGCTGTTCTATGGAAGGGAAATCTCTTACATCCCGGGAAGCAGAGAGGAGAGATGAAAAATTGGGTATGTTCATTTGGTCACGATAAGAGGAAGATGTCAAGAGAAATTCATTGCATGTGGCCAGGGGTTTTACTACTCAAAGTTACTGCCTCTGGTTGGCACATCTGCTGGTGGAGCAATGAGAAGCTTCAGGAACATGTGCAGCCCTGCTCACTGAAAATAAGCAGAGATGCAAATGCATTTTAAGTGAAGATGAACATTTCTACAGGGTGGGAGTTTAGCCCAACCCAAATTATCCTAGGTTTTTATCAAGTGTCAATTTGCTCAACCTAAATGGATTAGAGAATAATTTGTCTGTTTTTGTTACTTCTCTGTTCTGAATTTAGGAATACCAGAAGAATCCAGGGATGACTCTCAATGCAAACTCAACATGCTCCAGAAACAGCATCTCAAGACTGACATCCACGAGCTAGTTCTAGCAGCTCTGAACAGGGTATGTTGAACATGTACTTTTTGTCTTTATAGCATTAGTTAGACTATAAAATTTGGGGACGGGGGTGTAGAGCTTCGAATTTCCTTTTCCTTTCCTTTGTTTACCGAGATAGTTAGAATTAATGTAGTTAGAAGTCAGGGCAACGGTAGGAATGTTGGAGTGAAGCTTTCTATACTAAGAGAAAGGTAAGTGCACAGCTAACTAATGCAAGTTTCTACCTGTGTTTGCTCAACCAGAAAGTCAACGAAAGAGCCAGGTCTAGATGTTGGGACCTGGGCTGCTGTTTTCTTTCTAATGGATCATCCTTCCTCCACAGTCCAATGGTAAAAGATTCAGCAAACAGAGACACACTAGACAGAACATCACCATCTTATCTGATGCCTGTGCATATTTTTCATGGCATTCCTAAGATGAATTATCATGACTATGATCTCAATAGAGCTATCAATAAGTATGTCTTGAGATTCAGCTATTATTTATCAAAAAAGAGACTAAGAAAAGTATTTATTTATTTATTTAGTTAGTTAGTTTTTCAAGACGCAGTTTCTCTGTGCTACAGTTCTGGCTATCCTGGAACTCATTTTGCAGACCATACTGGCCTTGAGCTTACAGAGATCTGCCTGCCTCTGCCTCCTGAGTGCTGGGGTGAAAGGTGTGCACTGCCACAGCTGGCTAAGAAAAGTACTTACTAAAGTGAGCCAAGGCTTTGATATATAAAACAGAACATTATAATTCAAGCTGAAGGTAATCTCTCTTTGGGTAATTGGCCGTCTGCTCATGCTGCATCTTGAGAGCTGTTGAGAGCTGTTGGCAGTGCTCAGTTATCTATTCCATACATTCCTGTTTGTCTACTGTCATTTCTGGGGAACAAAGTAGGCTCTCAGCATGCCGGTGGATCTACATGTATGTGTCTGCAGAGACACACCTGGTTCTCTGAACAGGGAACTTAGTACAGCAAGAGCCATTCTACTGATGAGAGGGTTCCAGGTCAAGACTTTCTGGTTTGCAAAAACTCAGAGCAAAATATTGACAACTTAAGAATTAAGGCAAGTATTAAATAAAAGGTGGAAAAGAGAACACGCTCAAAAGGGAATTTTATATAAGTGACATCAAATGTTTGCAGAAAAGTGAACCTAAGAGGTAGAAGAGTCAGACAAAGAATTGAACACACAAGAAGATAGACCTTCATGGAAGACAAAAGCAATGTTGAGCTGCATATAGGAAGCCTTTATAAAAATTACAGTACTAGTTTCTTAAATGACATAAACAAGTATAAGATGTACATGAAACAGTCAATTTGCAAGATGACTTGCAAGAGAACTGAGAAGGAGAGATAAGTCATGTGGCCTAATTTCAATGGGGGAACCAAATGTTTTGTAAGATGTTAGTGACAACGTGTGACATTGGCACTGGAGCAAGTGTGGTCGGTTCTATAAGATTCTGGCTCAGGAATTAGCCACAAGCAAAAATGTGCAGTTGGTGCATGATATTGCTCAACACTGAAAGAAAGATAATTCACACAGAGATTTATGTTACTGGAGTTTAAGGCCAGCCATTTGGGGAAAACATAGAAGCTTAATATTTACTCTTTGGATCAAAACACACGATACCTGATTAGAACGTAAAGGTAAAAATATTAAATTGATCTATGTACATATGTAAAAGTTCTCAACTATTACCACATATGTAGACTATAATCATGATGTGGATTCAAACAAGAAACAATATTTAACAATATTTCTAGGCAATTTGGCAACCAGCTATGGTGTCTCATGCCTGTAATATCAGCTCTTGGGAGGCTGAGGCAGGAGGATTGCCACAAGTTCAAGGCCAACTTTGGTTACAAGTGAGTTACAGGGTAGCCTTTGCTACACTGAGGGAATAAAAACAAAAACAAAAAAAAAACATTGAAATATCAGTGATGGGCAAATTCTCTGGAAAGACTTGAAGGCTGTGGAGTGCAGGGTGGAGGGTGTTTCTAATTAATGCCTGTTGACATCCTTCCAGTGATGTCTCCAAAGTTTTCTCTTGGAAACCACTTGTTAAGTCAGAACTTGTAAGTTAATCTTGATCCATATTTTAACAGTAACACAGTGAATACTGTCTTCAAGATGAAGAAGTAGGTGATTGAATGAAAACCCGCTATGGGTTTGTAAATAGTCTATCCTATGTTTAGATGCTTTAGACACTGTCACTTTTGATCACACAGTGGCAATTCTGTTGTGCGGGCAATCACAGCTTTCCTGTTGTAAGTTATTAGTAGGTTGCTAAACTGGTTCTGCAAAGGTTAGAGGTTAAGTCAGTCCATCAATAATAGACTAAAAATTAGGTAGAGGTGAAAATATTAAACATGAGGGCTGATAAGATGTCTAAGATAGTACCTATCACCAAGAGCATGATGGCCTTAGTTCAGTCTCTGGGACAGAGATGAATGTCGGAAAGAACTCATTCCCACAAGTGGTGCTCTGACCTCCATGTGGGAGGTGTGTACCAGTACATACATACCCACACATGTACTCACATGTGCACACAAAATCAATAATGTAATAACTTTAAAGAGATATAAAATACAAGGAGAGTCACTTTGTGCCTGGCTGATGATGCATTTAGAAACAGAACTGAATACATGGTTCATGGAGTTCAATATCAAAGAAAATTACAGCTTCCCTGGCTTGGAAATTTCAATTATTTCAAGACAAAGTCAGCAGAATGTAAAAACAAGGCGAGGTCCCTGCTAATAATTAGGGCCCGCTCAGGAAGCTGGCTTTGCCTGTCAAGCAAGATGGCACAATTAACCAAGCATCAAGTTCAATAGGGCAATCCTCCTTTTGATTTTGAGACGACACTAAACTTTGGGCTTTGGACACATGATCCTAAGGTGCCTGTGTCAAGGAAGGAGAAATATGGTCTTGAGGTCTGAGTTTAAACATGTTTTTGTGTCAAATGCTCAAAATTGTACATCCTCATTTTGTTTCATTGATGCATAGAGCTATAGTGTGTATTTATACAATAAGATTTGTGATAATTTAAATGTTAGTATACACAAAATTATTTTTCTTTTTTACTTTTTATTTAAAGTTCTTATATAATGTCTACAATTTAAAAGTATTTCTTTTATTTTTGAGATTATATTATAATCACATAATTTCCCCTTCTTTTCCTCTTTCTAACTCATCCCACATACCCTTTCTTGTTCTGTTCCTAATTCGTGACCTCTTTTTTCATTAATTGCTGTTACATGCATGTATTTATATATACTCCTAAATATAGCCTGCTCAGTCTGTGTGCTGTGACTTTTATGTATGTTTTCAGAGTGGATCATTTGGTATTGGGTGATCCGTTGGTGTGCTCTTCCCTGGGGAAGAGCTCTCGGGCTCCCAGGATTCCCCAGTTATGTGAGAAATTCTTAGAGGCAAGTACCTGCAACTTTTGTCCTCCCAGTGTGGTAGCTGCTGTTGTGTAAGGCAGTTGTGTTAATATGCTGATCTCTCTTGTGAACGGAGTTTTTGGAAAGGAATTTTGTGCAGTTTGGATTTGTAGGATGAAGATGGAAAATGCATGGCTTTAAAGTTGGAGCCTGGTAGAGAGTAGCATGTCCTTGGAACTCAGGGAGTGCGAAGGCAGCAATTAAGTTGTTAGGGGACTTTTTTCTCTCAATGCTTTTAATTCAGAGTAGTTAAGAGAGCTGTCTGATTATATAAAATTAAAGGGTAGCAAGAGTATGGAGGCAGTGGGTGTAGACTTTCCTATTAATAAATTTAGAAGTGAAGAAAAAGGGAAACTGTCTCTCACCTTAGCTTCTGTTTCTTTTCTGATGAGAATTTTGGCCCGACTTCCAATGTCAGTCCATGTTGATTGCATGGACAGAGTTATTCCTGACCCTAGTGACACTGTATCATGACGGTTGTGTTAGAGAGCAGGGTACCGAGACATCACCAAACACCTTTACCTTCACATGGTGAAACTGCAATTGTACTTCTGCAGTAATTAATTCTTAACCACTTTGGAGCTGATGTTTTTGATATTGTACCATTTGTTATGGTCTTCAGATTACAGAATGCAACACATCTCTGATTCACTGCAAAGATAATGCAGTATTTACTACTCAGAAGTAGGGAATGAGATACTAGTAGCATCGAAAAACAAATCCTCAAGAAGGGGAGGGTCAGAGTGTCTTGCTTAAACGATACAGGAAACTATGACAAACTGAGCAGCTAGAGTTGGAGAACAAGGCACAAGGAGAAGCTGATTAGGTTCCCAGTCCCTGTGGGGAACAAAGTGATAAGTATAGACACTTGAGAGATCATAGAGAGAAGGGTAAACATCTGTAGACTGGTTACAGACAAGCTAAAGCAGGAGACAGGAGGCTGTGGCCCTGTAGGTTGCATTAGAGCTTGCGATCTGGCTTCAAGCTATCTCAGCATTGTCCTGTAGCCGTGATGGGGGAAAATAGATTTGGGGATGGAGATTCTGTGAAATAAGTGGTTGCATGATGTATCTGTGTGAAATTAAGTCCCGAGAAAGCCACTGTGGTCCTCTTTGAAGGAAGCCCTGTAAGCTGAATCGTCACGTTATTGGAGAGGTGGGAGAGTAGTGTCCATATAGGGGGAGCCAGAGATGGCCGGGGCTAAACATACAACAGTGGCATCGAAAGAGGGGTGTAGGAACGAGGTTGTCGGCACACATGCTTCCTCTTAGAGAGTAGCTTGTCTTTGAAAGAGAACTAGATTCCATCAAGATGCCCACAAATCTCAAATTGCTGAAAGAAAACATGATTAAAGAAAAGATGTGGTGATTGTAATCTAGGTCTCTAAGACAGACCCATTAATATTCCCGGCCTAAGACTGATACAGGATTTGTGTGACTTAAGTTTAACTACACGTCTTTGAAGTTTGACAAAACTATTGCTTGACGCACTTTGAAGGGAAGAAATGGAATAAAATCCATGAGCTACTTGGAGTTTAGCTCTCATGAGCTTCCTGTGGATAGAGACAGTGTTGAGACTGGTTAAGCTTATGGCTTTTCAACCAAATATCCCTTGTTTGGTTTCCTTGCTGTGATGTGCAGTGTGTAGAGCTGAGTTGTTCTAACTATGATGAGCTAAGCCTCTAACAGAAGTGGTCCACTGCGCAGAAGAGGAGACACAGGTACCAACTTTCTATCTTATGCTTCTCTGTGGTGAGTTCTCCAGCAGTGTGAACTGAATTGAAGAAGCCATCATTTCTCCAATGCATGCTTGACAATGCTTGCTAGCAGGGACTTAATTATTGTGGAATATGTGTATTTAGTACAATACTCGACATACAACACACACTTGAAGGTTAAGAGGCTTATTCTTGATGCATACAAGTAATTCGTGATATAGAAGGCAGAAATGATAGTAATTTGTATTTGGACACATCAGTTATGTTTTGTTCTTGAGACTGAGTCTCATGTATCTCACACTGGCTTCACACTTTGTACCTGAAAATGTCCTTGAATTTCTGGTCCTTCTGCCCCCATCTCCCAAGTACTGGTTTCATAGGTGTGTACTACCATGTCGAATTTTTTGATGCTATACTGGGGATCAAATCTAGGACTTTTCATGATAGGCAGCCACTTACTATCTAAGCTGCATTCCCAGACTTTGTATTATGTTTTACCAGTCTGTAGCTGGCTTTAATTGAGACATGTATTAAAACCTTATTTCTGACAGTAACTAACTAATCTTAAACTCCTTTTGATTTTAGTTCCTTGGGAATCCTGGGGTTCAGAAATGTGGACTGAAAGTATTATCTTCTCTGACACATCTTCCTGACGCCTTAGAGATGTTGTCCTTGCATGGCACAGTTGACTCCGTGCTTCACGCCCTGCAGATGTATCCAGATGACCAAGGTTGGTACAGGTGAATGTTGGGACCATATTTAGGGCCGGTTATTCACTGTCGCCTTTAATCCCTTCCTCCAGTGATAAGGTTGAGAGAATTACCATTGTGATTTTTCTCTTTTATTCTAGAAATTCAATGCCTGGGCTTACACCTTACAGGATGCTTGATTACAAAGAAGAATTTCTGCATACGGACAGGGCACCTCCTGGCAAAAATTCTGGTATCCAGTTTACAGCGCTTTCAAGATGTTCCTGAAGTGCAAACTACGGTGCGTACCCTCTAGGGAGCCAGGAGCTTACGCAGGTCCCCACCAGTACCCTTGCAACTCTCACTGTACACCAGTTGGACATTCTAGCTAATTAAAACTATTTATCATTGTGCAGGATTGTAATTATAGATGGTGCAGATAATTGCATTGCCTATAAAGACCCAGTGTTCATTATTAGATCTGAAGAATTAGTGCATTAGCTTGCCTTCTCTTCTTCCTATAAAATGCTAAAGAAATTCCAGTAGCGAGGTTTTTTTTGCTTTTTTTTTTAACGTGCCCAAAATATTTTATTTTTCTTTCAAGGTAGAAACATTTAGGTTTCGTTCTCTGAAATGGTAGATACCTCAAAGCATACTTCACTTGTGGTCTCCAGAGTCGTTCTGGACTTTCAATGTGACAAAGTAAACTATAGTAATTTAAAGAATTTGTTGTTACCATCTATAATTATTTTATATTTAATATATTGTCAGGAGGCATTGCCAGTGGAGATGGATAGATTTTGAACAAATACAAGTTATTATTATAAAAATGGACATCCTCTCTGACTTATCGTGAGCTGCTTTTGCCTCTAGTGATTTTGTTTCTTGATTGCTTTTTCCTAAAGTAGAGATCTGAAATAATTTTCACCAAGCTATATTTAAAGCAAACATATAAATGTTTTTATGAAGATTTATGATGGTATAAGGTTGGTTCAACAGGAGATAAAAAGCAGGGGATGTTTCTTAGTACTGAGAGAATGAGGCTTTTACAATTTTTTCAAGGTGTACAAGTTTTTCTGCTTAGTTGGATGAGCAAAGGAGGCATTAAATATCAGATATAAACTGTTGTTTATCATTGAGGGTTTTTTTTTGGTTGTTTTTTGTTTTTCGAGACAGGGTTTCTCTGTAACTTTGGAGCCTGTCCTGGAACTAGCTCTTGTGTAGACCAGGCTGGCCTCGAACTCCCAGAGATCCACCTGCCTCTGCCTCCCGAGTGCTGGGATTAAAGGCATGCGCCACCACCGCCCGGCCTCATTGAGTTATTTATTTATTTTTACCAATAATTATTTATATTATTTACTATAACTAGTTTTGCTCCTCTTCCAGGGATTGCAGACAATCTTGGCAATCCTTGAATTGTCAGCGTCTTTCTCCAAGGTTCTGGTGCACTACTCATTTGATTTGGTAATATTCCATCAGATGTCCTCCAGCGTGATGGAGCAAAAGGATGAGCAGGTATGGTGTATCGATGCCTACGGGCTCAATGTTATCCCCCAGCTGCCTCTAATCCTCATTTCCATTCTTCCTAGTTTCTCAATCTGTGTTGCAAATGTTTTGCAAAGCTGGCTGTGGATGATGAGCTGAAAAGCACAATGCTAGAGAGAGCCTGTGATCAGAATAACAGCATCATGGTGGAATGTTTGCTTCTGTTGGGAGCTGATGCCAACCAATCAAAGGGGGCGACGTCTCTAATTTATCAGGTAAATATTCCAGGCCTCACTTCTGTTTATCCCTGTTATTTGGCCCTGGCTGGCCTTTCACAAAATTTCCTCCTACTCGTCCACATTGATGCCTCACTAGACGAAACAAACAAACAAAATAACCACAAACACAAATTTACTGAAACATAATTCACACATAATATAACTCATATGCTAAAGTATATAATTCAATCGTGAAAGGCGAAGACAAAAGGATCACTGATTAGGTTGACGTCAACTAGAGCAATAAAGTGGCACACTGAGAGCTCCTCCCTAAAAGGCAGTTACAATTGTGTGTACCTGTGTTTGTATAGAGTCACACTGCTATTACCAGAGTCAATGCTAATTTTGTTTTCACCACTTCACAGTTAAATCCCTAGGCAGTAGCCCTAGTTCCCATTTCTTCCCCCTCCCCCCCGGACATTTGTCTATTTCTCTCTTTGGCTTTAGGAAATCACTTGCCTACTTTCTGTCTCTATGCATTTATCTGTTCTGGACATTTAAAATTCTAATCCCATGGTTATGTGTCTGTGACTGGCAATTTCCCATCACTTTCCCTGCTATACAAGCCTCTGGTAAGCACTGTTCTGTTCTCAGCTCTTTTAGATCAACTTTGTATTCTAGGTGTGAGTGATGTGATGTATTATTTTGTCTGCCTTCTGCTCATTTGCTGATTCTTAGTTTCATTCCCATTGTCCTTCAGTGATAAGATTTTGGTAAATGAGGCTAAATAACATTCCATTTTGTATATACTCCATCCTTTTCATTCATTCACTTCCTAATGAGTCCCTAGATTGATTTCATATTTTGATTCATATCTGGATATTTGCTGAACATGGAAGTATAAATCTCTTTTTCAACATTTCACTTCCATTGGACATAGATTCAGTAATGACTTTACTAAATCTTATGGTAGTGCTAATTTTAGGTTTTAGGGTTGCTGGGTGTTGGTGATGCATGTCTTTAATCCAAGCACTTGAGGGACAGAGGCAGGCAGATCTGTGAGTTCAAGGCCAGCCTGTTGCACAGAGCTAATTCCAGTACAGCTACGACTCTTACATAGAGAAACATTGTCTCAAAAAAGCAAAAGAAAAGAAAAAAATTTAGTTTTTTTTTGTTTTGCTTTTTGTTGTTGTTTTGGGAAAGTATCTTACTATATAGGCATGACTGGTCTAGAAGCCACCACATCTTGATCCTACATCTAGGTTTTATATTTTGGTACTTCCATACTGTTTCCCACAATGTCTATACTAATGTATTCTCACAAATAGTTTGTAAGTGTTCTCTTTTTTCCACACTTTTGATAGCAATCTTAGCTTCTGTCCTTTTGATAACCGTTCTTATCAGGCAAGATAACTTCCCATGTGGTTCTGATTGAATTATTGTTCTGCTGATAGCTGATGTTGGGACCCTTTTCACCCCTCTCCTGGGCAGGTAAATGTGTCCTCTGGGGACATATCAAAGTTTACCCAATGCTGTAGGTGGGTGTTTTCAGTCTAATGCCTCATCTAGCTATTGGGGTGTAATTGACTCCAAATATGCCCCTTACATTTCCACAGACCTTGTCCTCCAATTGTTCTCTGTACAACACATAAGGCTGAAGTTACCTGGCAGGAGTGAGAAGGAAACATAGAACACACAACAAACCTGCTTAGGAGTTTATTGGGGATAGGGGGTGCACAGGCCTGGTGAGGGTTAATGTGCAGAGAGAAAGAGAACTGAAGATGGCACCTCCAGCTTTTAAGGGCTGCCTAGTACATGCGCACAAGGGGAGGGCGTGGTTATGTCATAGGCAGATGACGGAGCTCACTTATGCATGCAAGGACTCACACAGTTGCGTCATACGTAGATGATGCAACCATGCTATGTGTGGGTCACATCGGGTCCTTTAAGATTCCCTGGACCATTAGGCTCTTCTGCCTGAGGGCTTGTCCGCACAAGCATGGCCCTGGAACCCGGAAGTGTCAGCCATGTTGTGTGACTGAATCATTACAAAGGCTATTATTGCTTGAACAAATTTTTCTGTTTTTAGTTTCTTTGCTATTATCTTAACTTTTCCTGGGAAGATGTGATAAATATCTACTTACCCCAGATCAGAGACAGATAAAGGTATAATTCCATCAAAGTCCATCTTGGCAAGCCAGTGAGTTTAGTGGGTTTATTCACCAAGGGCTGGCAAAGTGTCTCATCAAAACCATTCCTCTCGATGACGCGTATTTATTCAAGCCTAGGCATCAAATATTAGGTTTTGAGGAGGGACAGAGGAAGATAGGCTTCAGAAAAAGGAGCTGAGGTATATTGTCTTTCAGGCAAGGTTTGTTAATGTTTTGACAACAAAACCCTTCAGAAGAAGCGAGGTTTCTGAGGGAAGGGAACTCCTGAATCATGAGGAGTCAGCAGAGTAGAATGTGATCTGTGTTACATGACTGCAGTCTGGTGACTGATCATTGGTAGAGTGGATATGGATGGACTGTTTGGGCTGCTTATGAGAGATGTGGGGGAAAGGCTATAGGCTCTGTGTGTGACCTGTCAGCTCTTCACAGTAGCTTGAAGGGGCTGGGCTCTAACAGGCATCCATCACTTGCTCTTGGCCACCCTAACTGTGTAGTACACTGATTTTCTTTTTCTTTTCTGCCCTTCTTGCTGCATCATTGAAACTCATGTCTGATCATCCTCTTCCTTCAAATCCCTTTCCTACACATCCAAACCTGAGATAACATCAAGACTGACTTCTGTGGGTCCCTGAGAGATTATGTATGCCTCCTTTATGTTTTAGGGGTTGTACAAAAATAGAAGTATACAGTGTTCATCTTTGTATTCTCCCAAATATTGAATCCATAGCATTGTTTTGTCACTCTTCCTGTGGAACTGTAAACAAGCATTTGTTGATAGGGCACCAATAGCTGACTGCTGGAAACCTGTGTCAGTCAGGAGGTCAGGTCCCAAAGAAAAGAGAATGTGTGGAGTTGTGGATGGGACATGATCTGAGCGTGAATCAGGATGGCTGCCAGACCTTAGGCTTTAGGGCTATAACTTGATGGAAAAGGTCTGCCTTGATAAAGCCACGCTGTCTCTCCCTTCCACCATACTAACAACACCCAGCAACAGCAACAATAGTAAATAAAAGAAGTAAATTAAAAAATTTGAAAGTCTGTCTTTACATCCATGGATTCTGTATTCCATTTGTAGAATTTAGCCTACTTGTCAGATGTTTTCTTTACCTAGCACATAATTGCCCTTATGAAGAGATTTACTGAAGAGCAGATAATTGACATTGAATAGACTTACTGAGTGTACTTTATTTTATGCTAATGCAAAATGTGTTTATTCATTTACCAAGAGGTTGCATAACTAAAAACTATTCAGGCAAAAGATGAAATTAACAGTGCTATACTTTTTGAAAATTTAATGATGGAAGAGAAAACTATGCAAGACTGATAATGGACATGAAGTCACATGGTCAGACATTATGGGCAGCATTATGCAGACTGCGATGGAATGGAAAAGGTGAAGAAGTCTCTAGTAATCACTGACTGGCAGCTGTCAGGTTATTGATTTAGACTCGTCTTGTATCTGTGACAAGAATTTCATTTATTTCTCCTGTCTATCACAAGAATAAGTTTTGCCTTTTTTTTTCATATCATTTCAACCTAAATTTGAAGCATAAATAATGACCATAGCAATTTTTCTGTCTGGCCAAAGAGAAGAAATGAAAATTTTGTGTGCACTTTCTCTTCTTTTTTTGTAAAACTAGGTATGTGAGAAAGAGAATAGTCCAAAATTAGTGGAACTGTTGCTTAACGGTGGATGCCGTGAACAGGATGTACGAAAAGCACTGACAGTAAGCATCCAAAAGGGCGACAGCCAGGTCATCAGCTTGCTCCTAAGGAGGCTTGCCCTGGACCTGGCCAACAACAGTATTTGCCTTGGAGGATTTTGCATAAGGAAAATTGATCCTTCTTGGCTTGGTCCTTTATTTCCAGATAAGTCATCTAATTTAAGGAAACAAACAAGTAAGTATCAATAGAATGCTGTATGTAACTCTCATGTTATAATTAGTAGTTTTGCTTTGAATGTGTGACTTAGTTCATAGAGGGAAAACACTCTCCCACTGATCTACAGTACATGTATTCACTCATCATGGTAGATAATTGTATGTGTTCTTTTTACAACTTTTCTTTTTAAAAAGTAGATTGTAGGCATGGTGAAATCAATGCTAGTTTTGTGCATGGTTGGAATCTTATTATCTATGCTACTGCTTCACATATAATATATTATCACTGGATACTTATAAATTTGGGATGACCCGTTGGGAGTAAATGATATCGAAAGCACATGTTATAGCAAATACTTCACATGTCAACAGAAGTTAAAATGGTTCTTTCTGAGGATATTCTGTATTATCTATTGATGTTTTCAATTCATATATATATATGCTTTTGAATTTTTAAAATCTATCATATACACACATATATACATATAATTTTTACTTACAATATGTTATCAGATATAGTACAGAGATTCTTTGTTCATAAGGATGTGGATTAAAACTATTAATAATAACAAAAGGCTGGAGGAAAATAGAATCACTCAGAAGAACCATGGGAAAATCATCCAGTGGAATCATTTGCAGCAAGCATAAATTTTGGTGAAAATGTACTGGAGGGGGCTCAGACAATGGGACTGTGAGGCCAACCTGGGCAGTATAGCATGAACCTGGTCAAAAAAGGACTAAAAACTGTGGTATAACAGTGTTTTGATTGTTAAAAATTATATTGAGTTGTGTTTATTGTACATATGTGTTAGCTGAGATTTCTGTAATGCCCGACCCTTTAGCCATTCAGCTCCAAAGAAACACACAGAAGTCTACATTAATCATAAACTGGTTGATGATTAGCTCAGGCTTCTTATTAACTCTTATAACTTATATTAATCCATTATTCTTGTCTATGTTAGCCATGTGGCTTGGTACCTTTCTCAGTGAGGCATTCTCATCTTGCTTCCTCTGTGTCTGGGTGATGGCTACAGACTGCGTCTTTTCTCTTCCCAGCATTCTCCTGTTCTTGTCACCCTGCCTTTACTTCCTGCCTGGTTGCCATACCTATACTTCCTGCCTGGCTACTGGCCAATCAGTGTTTTATTAAAATACAATTACAGGGTAGAGACCAATGTCCCACAGCATATATGTGAAAATGAAACACTGTATGAGAAAATAGTTGTACAAATGATACCTCTCATCTTCCCCTACTCTTTTCTTCCCCCTCTCCTCCCTCCCCACTCTCCTATCCTCTCCCTTCCCTTCCTTTTCTTGTTTCTCTTCTCCAGCCTTCTCTTTTCTTCCCCACCCCATATCTACATCCATCTCTTTAGGATCTCTCTATGTAGGCCTGGGAGCTCTCTAAGTAGAGCAGGTTGGACTTGAACTTGTGGCAAATCTGCTTTTGCCTCCTTAGTTCTGGGATTATAGATGTAAACCACCTTGCCTGTCTATTTTCTGATTTTTGATGGAGTGGGATGGAGATTTAGTATTTCTTTAGTTCTATGTGAACATCTTAAATTATGGCAAGTTTTGCTATAATTTTTAAATTGTTAATGTCATTTGACTGGGAAATAAAATCATGATTTCATTGGTAGTTTATCCAAGGGAAAACTTTGGATTCATAACTTTACAATATTTCTCAAGTTCTAATTGGCTGAATTATGTTTTTATTATGTGAGCCATGAAAGTAATATTTGAAGAAATCTAGAGTTTCTGTAGATTAATGGTGACGGCCAGTACATTTCTTTTTAGTATAAGATAAATATAAAGTATAAGAAAAAATTGAGGAGAATATTGTCTTAGGGTTAATATTGCTGTGATGAAATTCATCAAAAGCAACTTGGGATGAAAAAGGTTTGTTTTCACTGAAGCCTGTCAGGGCAGGAACCCAGAGGCAAGAGCTGATGCAGAGGCCATGGAAGGATGCTGCTTACTGGCTTGCTCTCCATGGCTTGCTCAGCCTGCTCTCTTATAGAACCCTGGACCACCAACCCAGGAATGGGACCACCCACTAGATGTTAGGCCCCTCCCATATGAATCACTAATTAAGAAAATGCTCTACAGGCTTGCTTACAGCCCAATCTTACTGAGGTATTTTTGTCAATCGAGGTTCCCTCCTCTCAGATGATTCTAACTCATGTCAAGTTGACATGAAATTAGCCAGCACAAGTGTTGAGTTCAAAATTCCACCATGTGAGCCACTGAGCAAATTTTATTCATTTGTTAAGCATCATGTTATTTATTTTTTCCTATAACCCTGTATTGAAGCTGTCATCTGCACCTTCCAGGTGAACTGATTGGTCCTTAGAAAGTTTAACCAGCTTGCAAGTGGCATTGCATAGGTCTGTCTCTGGCTCCACAGTCCTGTTCCTTTCCTGAAGAAAGTAAGATTCATAATGACTGAAAGTGGCCATCTATACCCAAGTTTCATTGCGCATCAGCACTTGTGCTAACACTGGAATGATACAGAGAAGAGCACCATGGCCCCTGCACAGTGTGCACTGATACTACAGCAGTAAAGGGATTTTAGAGAGAGAGAGAGAAAAAAAAAAAAAAAAAAACCTTAACAGCTCAAGATGTGTATAAGGAGCTTGTGTAAGGCATGATTATGTTTTATAATTATTGATTTCTAAGTTACCAGTTGGTTTATTTTTAGACACAGGATCTGTCCTAGCAAGAAAAGTGCTCCGATATCAGATGAAAAACACTCTGCAAGAAGGAGCAACTTCAGGCAGTGATGGCAACTTTTCTGAAGATGCCCTGGCGAAATTTGGTGAATGGACCTTCATTCCTGACTCTTCCATGGACAGCGTGTTTGGCCACAGTGATGATTTGGATAGCGAAGGTATCTGTTTTAATTGAAGGTTCGCTGCAGCCCACATCTACACATTGGCATTGAACACTAAGGACTCATATGAAAAGCTGCTTTAACTCATTTGGGAAAGGGGACAAATTGGGCTGTAGTTAATTAAAGCTGTGGCTGGAGAAACCACGTCTTGCGCTTCCCTGTGTAAGCCAGAGGACGTGGCCACATGCACGCTTAGAGCAAGATAACTCCTACCCTGGTGTTGGGGTTCATACCCTGACATCTACTAGGTTTTTGTGGCTGTGTCATTTTCCTGACCTTTTTACAGTTAGTGATGCCAGCCTTTCAGGTTTACAGGTAGGAAATCAAGAAAATCTAGGTAATGGATCTGGATGACAATTGGCAAATAGTTCTTAATTTTATAATGGCCCTAAAACATTACTATTTTAATAATTCACCTGACATAATTTTTAAAATTGATAGAACAATATGTATGATGATAGCAGTTATGAATAACATTTCATACAATTCAATTTGCTAAAAAAATGAGCTAAGGGACTTGTTATTTTTTTACTCATTTTAAAAAAATTTTTAGTGTATGAAGTGACAGGCTTCATCATAACACATTTTAATACATCTGTAGCTTTTTACTTTGCTCATATTTAACCCCGATTACCTTTCAGCATCCACATCCCCTCTGGCTGCTCCACTTACTCCTACAAATAGCCCCTCTCTTATGAGCCTCACTTATATTAATGCACACAGCATAATTTCATTCTTCATGAATAAATTCTATTGTGAGCTTCCCAGAATGAGTTTTCTTTATTCATTTGTGAATTGTTTTATGCAATATTTCTGTTTTGCTAATATCCGTGAGCACAGGAGGTCTTTCCATCTTTTGGTGTTCTCTTTCAATCTCTTTTCCCAGCATTTTAAAAATTCTTCCTTGTAAAAATCTTTCTGTCTTCTCAGAAAGGGTTTATTCTTATGTTTTTCATTTTCTTAAAGCTACCATGACTCTTTTGTTTATTTCTTTTCTGTCACGTCTGTAGATCTCTGACAAGCTGCTGATTTTGTATTGTGATGTTATAGAGAAAGGTTTTTACATGCTGTAAGAGTTTTCTGATAGAGCATTCGAGGTCCTTTAAGTACAGGGTCTTGTCATGTGCAACTAAAAATTTGCCTTTTTTTTCTTTCCTGTGCAACTTAGGGGCTTTTTAAATTATTATAGTCTGCTGAAAGCTTTGGGTGAGAAGGATCAAAGTATTATTCATTTCAATCATTTCTTTTTGTGGCTGAGGTTTGAACCAAAAGTCCTCATACTTACTGAGCATGCTCATTCCATGAAATCACTTCTCCCACCAATTAGGTATCTTTGAACAAAGAAAAATGCTAAAAGGTAACATAAATATCAATATCAAGGCACTATTTCCTTATGTAAAGAGTATTTTGCTAGACCCTTTCCAAACATGTAACATAAGGCAATGATGACATGGAAGAGCTATTATAGTGTATGTGGATAGTTAAAATATATAGTCTCCTTTATTAATATATTTTAATATAATATTTTATCAGTTCTTTGATACTCTCACCCATTTTGATTATATTCTAACAAGATCCTTTGGGGGTGTAGACTCTAGACTCTCTGCAGGGTTCAGAATAGAAGCCACAATAAGTGAAAAGGACTTTTCTTGAGGGCAAGCAAACTCTCACATGTGCTTTTCCAAATCAGTCTTTTTATTGTTCTGTCTCAGTTCTAACTCTCCTGTTCTGCTTCAAATTACTCCCAGCTTCCTCTAGCTTCATCTTCTCTCTTCTAGCCTAAAAACTCTCCTTACAGGAGCCTTGAAGAGATAGAAAAAAAGCGCAAGAGTTACCTCTCATTGTTTAAAACACATTCCTAGAGTAAGTGATTAGGAACTGAGCCATTACCATGGGAACACAAGGGTCCAAGGTTGCATGAGTAAAGCTGTAACCAGAATGGGGTGGGGCACAGTGCCCAGTGACAAACTTTGAGACATAGGTCTATTGTTAACAGACTGGCAAGCAAAGAATTGGCGTGCTTTTCTTAGGGTGCTTTGTGTTGTAACCTTGGTTGGACATCTGCAGCTTTGACCTTGAGCATAACTGGAAGGCTTTAAACTCATGATCCATTTACAAAATACCTTTAGCCCAGTTTGAACTTGCTTTGAGGTGAAAATGAGATTATTGTGTGCAGTTAGTCTGAGCATGAAAAAGAAGCAGGCTTTTATGTATCTGCAGTCCTCTTGGGACAAAGAGATCTAGTTATGAAGCAAGTCCTAATATATAGTCTATATATCAAAATCATATATCCAAATGAAAAGTCATCTTCTCGATCACCCACGGATAAATGTTACCATAAGAATGAGATGCAATCATGAGATTACATGTACACATTACATGAAAATGCATGGTAATGGAGAGGTATCATAGCTGTTATTGTCCAAGTGGAATCACAGAAGAAAGCACCAGTTTTCAGAGTCTTGCTGACAGGAAACCCCATCAGGGAATACTTCCTCTGTTAGGTTGACATCTGAATTATCAATGGCTATAAGCTCTAATTGCATCATGGCTTGAATTAGCCCGTGACAACCACTCCTGACAATCTATAGCCCACTCTCCCCTAAAACCTTCCATATCCACCTCCCCAAATTTTTATCCAATTTAGTTGACATGTTTAATTAATTTATAGAGTGAGCATGGCACCATGCATGTACAGAGGTCCAAGGACCACTTGCATGAGTCAGTTCTCTCTCTTCACCATGTGGCTTCCTGGTATCCAACTCAGACCACCAGACTTGGTAGTAGGCATCTTTACTCAGCCATTTTTGAGTCTTTTACTAAAATAATTAATAAAATAGTTTATACTATAGAATGAGTTAGACTTACATATTTAATCAGAGAGTTAGTGCTTATATCAGATAATTGTATATCATATTACACAATATGAAATTGATTTTTTGATATCTTGAATTTATAATTTACATTTAGCACTTAAGTTCATTTTTTTTCTTTCCAAGCTAAAGAGTGGTAGAATTGAAAATCTTACGTTATTTTCCAAAAATATTTCCTCAATATTTATCCTTGCAAGTATGACTTCTTCCTTCATGTAATTTCTGAAAACTCATAATTTCTTTTCATCCTCATTTCCCTCTTGTGAAAGAATTATTGCTAATTATAGGTATAGCTCAATGATACGTACTTGTCTAGAATGCATGATGCAAGAGGCCTTGGGTCAGTCCCCAGTACTGCTAAAAACAAAAACAAAAATAAATGACTTAAAAAACTGATGCCATCTTACCCCCCCAAATATGAAACCCTGATGAATCATATTCAAGATTGTTGAATGTCAAATAATTTAAGGTGTCTTTTCCAATATTTAAAACCAAAGTTAAAAAATCTGTAAGAAAGTATAGAGAACTGGAAAAAGAGTTGTTCCTATCTTTGTGCTTCCTTCCTTTGCTTCCTCTACATGTGTTTACTACTGCACGTATGACTGTTGACTTTCTTGACTTATTTCTCCTGACCATGAACAACTTCAGCATTGGGTTATTCTTATCTAACACTCCATGCTGAGACTGATACAGGTATACAATTAATATACATGAAAGAAATAAGACAGTAGTTGAGTTTTAACTGAAAAAGCCAACTTTGTTTACCATTTTTATTTCATATTCAAAGAGAATTAATTGTAAAGTTTTTTGTATTTGTGCATGTGTGTATATAATATATATATTATATTATATGTCTTGGGAGCAGGATATCTTGCTGAGCTTGGAGCATGGTTTCTCCACTAGGCTGGCAGTCAGTGAACCCCATTGTATCCTCTTGTGCCTCCCCTGCGTCCCCAGTGCTGAGGACACCCATGTCCTCAGGATCATGTGTCTGTTAGCTGCTGGTTTCCAAATGCTGGCCCTCGTGTCTGTATGGAAATCACTCTTCTCCTCCGAGCCTGCGAAGTTTCTGCTAATGAAAATATTTAAGCTTCCTGACTGAGTTATGAGGTTTTCTCACATGGTTGTTGTTCTTTTTTCACTTTGTTATCCTTTCATTTCAAAGCAGGCAGTGAGAACTCAGTTCTCATGAAAAAGAAGTCGAATTCGATTAGTGTAGGAGAATTTTATAGAGATCCGGCTTTGCAGCGTTGCTCAGCAAATTCTCAGAGGCATTCCAGTTCCTTGGTAAGTTCCATGCTGTTTATGCTAAGTGTTCTGTCCCGACATTCTCTTGTGAACTGAACTCCTGCAAAGCTAGGTGTGATTATCAAGGAGTCACCTGATATTCAAATGCATACACATGAAAACATATGCACTTTTAACTTGGATTCATACATCTACATCTGTCTTGAGAATTATTGAATTTCATACACACCACTAGTATTCGTTTTCTGTTTTTTTTTTAATTTTTTTTATTGAAAAAAATATTTCCCCCTCCTCCCAGCCTCCCATTTCCCTCCCCCTCCTCTTACTCCTCTCCCCCTCCCCCCACTCCTCTCCCCCTCCCTCTCCAGTCCAAAGAGCAGTAGGGTTCCCTGCCCTGTGGAAAGTCCAAGGTCCTCCCCCTCCATCCTGGTCTAGGAGGGTGAACATCCAAACAGGCTAGGCTCCCACAAAGCCATAACATGAAATAGGATCAAAACCCAATGCCATTGTCCTTGGGTTCTCATCTGCCATCAGTGTCTGCCATGTTCAGAGAGTCCGGTTTTATCCCATGTCCTTCAATGGAAGAATGGATGAAGAAAGTGTGGAGTATATACACATTAGAGTACTACTCAGCGGTAAAAAAACAATGACATCTTGAGTTTTGCATGCAAATGGATAGAAATAGAAAACACTATCCTGAGTGAGGTAACCCAGACCCCAAAAGATGAATATGGGATGTACTAACTCATAATTGGTTTCTAGCCATAAATAAAGGACATTGAGTCTATAATTTGTGACCCTAAAGAAGCTAAATAAGAAGGTGAACCCAAAGAAAAACATATATTTATCCTCCTGGATATGGGAAATAGACAAGATTGCCGGGCAAAAAAAAAATGGAATCTTGGGGGTGGGGTGGGATGTGGGTAAGGGGAGATGGGGAGAGAAAAGTTTCTGTTTTTTTAAATGAAAAGACACACACCTTTCTATGAGATGCCTGATATTGAGAATGACACCATTTTTAGGTTGACTTTCAAAGATGAATGCTAACTTAATTTTTGATGATAATATAGTATTGTACATTCAAAATGTCTTTTTTATTATGGAAATAGCCTTTAACTTACCCTTATTGTATGTATATAAAACACATAGTGTAAAATGATTATTATGATAAAGGAAATTAACATGTCTCACATCATTTACTATACTGCTGGCAATGACAAAAGTACAGTAGTCTCCCTTAATCTGAAAATTTGAAGTGGAAAGTCTTTTGTTTGAAATAACCTTAAGAATTTTTAAATGCACTGTATCTCCAGATTTAATCTTTCTGATATAGACTGGCTGGAGTTTTATTTTGGTTTATGAAAGTGAAAAGCTGAGAGATTTATTTAGACATGATTGTGACTATGGTACTACATACTATGCAGTTTCCAGCATCTTCCTCGCAAGCATGCAGCAGGACGTTACTGACCACAGCCATGCGCCTGCACATACAACACAGACGCCCTTCTCCCTCTCTGCATTTGTACCCTTGACTCAGTTTGCCGTTCTTTCACCTTTCCCACGCTCTGGTAACCTCCATTTTACTCTCTATTTTTCCTTTCATCCTTCAAAATAAATTCATTTCCTTATTTGTTTTCTTCTTTGACAGTTTTATGTATAAAATATAATCTACAATAGTCATTTTCACCCCCCTTTCCTTCTCGCATCTTTCTCCCTCTTGTGCTAAAACTCCTTTTCCTAAAAGACCTCCTGCAACTTTCATGTTTTGTGTGTGTATGTATGAGAGAGAGACAGACAGACAGAGACAGAAAAAAGAGGCAAAAAGGGAGGGAGGAAGGGAGGAAGGGAGGGAGGAAGAGACGGAGGTAGAGAGAGAGAGGGAGACTCACTGAGTTTATTCGGGCTGCTTATAGGAGCCTGGGTAGGAAGTTCCTTACTGGAGCATGGACAACCTGTTGGTGGTTACACCACACACTGAAGTCACACCCCTTCCTCTAGCACCATTCATCATCAGTCAGTAGTCCCCGGGGATGGGTGGAGCCTCATGAGCCCTTGCATGATGAAATGTTGGCAGGCCCAGTTTTGTGCATGTCTTATGTGGTCAACCACAGCACAGTGTGTTCTTACGCGTGATGGCTACATCTAAATGGTGCCCTTTGGAAAGAAACTTGCCCACTCTCCAACTCACTTGTCCCTTCTGCCCCCTTCTAAAATGTTCCCTGAACCCTAGAGAAGTGATGCAGATACCTCAGTCAGGGCCGGGCAGACCAGCATCTCTTATTCTCAGCTCTTTGTTATAAGTCTCTATTAGTCACCACCTGCCGCAGAAAGAAGCTCAACAGGTAAAGGGACTTGCTGTGCCCTCCTGTTGACAGCAACTCCTGGGACTCATACAAGGTGGAAGGAAAGTGCCAACCCCACCCAGCTGTTTTTAGACCTCCACACACAAGCCAGGGCATGTGAATCCCCAAGCCCACATGTATCACACAAAATTAATAAAATAAAAAAGAAGGTTGTCTAAAGAAAGCCAAGATATTTAGGGATATACATATGTCTATTATTTATTACTATAAAATCAGTCATTTGAGATCCCCCTAAGTAATTTGGTCAGTGTATAATATGAATGTATCATTATATTGTGATACCTGTGGGATATTTGTTTCATCGTGCATGCATTTACTAATAATGTGCTGATTCAAAGTAAAATTAAACAAAAATCAAGACTTTTGTTTAGTTTAGATGTGAAGATAAGAGTGAGTGATTGTAGGCAAATATGATAAATTAGGTCACGGTGCTCGTATTTAGCAGTTGTAGTTACTACAAATAAGTTACAGCTTCTGTCTTTCAGTTTCCTGATTCTTGAACCTAAGGTCAAGGCCTGGTAACCCTTCAAGTGCCAGCACCAGAAAGCCAAGTCTAGAGGGTCCCTGGTTCTAGGACAATCTGGATCCTAGAGTATGACCCTTCTACAAGTACATAAAACAGAGGGGCAAGGGTCAATACAGAGGCCATCTGTGCAGTAAAATTCAGTTTTCTCTTACTTTAATCTTTGAACTCTTTTCTTGCCTATTTCTTCCCCCAACAATTGTGAACTCCATCTAGTCTACTCACATTTCCTGGTTGCTTCTGTACAGAAATGTTCTGTTCTCACAATCAACAAAAATTATAGCAATTTTACTTGTCATTGTTTATTTAATAGGGTCCCGTTTTGGATCATGAAGATTTACTGAGAAGAAAAAGAAAAATACTTTCTTCAGATGAGTGTCTCAGTAAGTATCGGGAAATCATTTCATCTAAGTAGATATTTGGGGCAGAATCTGTTGCTTTTTTAATTTGCTTTGATTATTTAAATTTTCTTGCTGTCTATTTGAACTTACACAGCTTTTGTATGTATGTACCTAATGATTACGGAGGCTGCAGAAAAATAAAATAGAGTTCTGTCAGTCCAAAGATTTACATTTTATAACTAGTATCAGCCCACATCTTTTAGGAGTTTTCTGAAATCCAAGTTCTATTTTTTCGGGTCCCCTTCCTCATTTTCTCCTGCAGGTCTTTGTTTTCCCAGCACCTGGTTAAATATTTCTGTCTGCTCTCCATCCTTGTCACTAGAGCACACACCATAGTCTGGTTTTCTTACAGCGCCACCTGCTGACATGAAGAGGTCCATTTTCACCAGGTGGAGTCCTCCGTGTGTGCACATGTTCATCCTTTGTTTTTGTTAAAACAGGGTCATCGAAGCTTCAGCCTCACATGAGACATTCAGATAGTTCCTCTTCCCTGGCCTCTGAGAGAGAATACATCACATCCTTAGACCTTTCCGCCAACGAACTGAAAGATATTGATGCCCTGAGCCAGAAGTGCTGTCTCAGTGGCCACCTGGAGCATCTCACCAAGCTGGAACTTCACCAGAATGCGCTCACTGGCTTCCCTCAGCAGCTGTGTGAGGTAGAGTCCCTTTGCCTTTTGAATCCCCCAGACCCTGCAGGGCACCGCGTGGCTAGTCAATTTGCATAAATTAAGCGCACCTGTTTAAACAGATTTATAATAACCTCAGAGTACCTGGAATGTGCCCCTGGTGCGAAAAGGGAAGATACATTAAAAACTTCCTCTTGGAGTGGTTTTACCAAGAGCAAGTTCGGATTTAAATTCTCTACTTCTCTCTCCCTATCTTCTATAGTCTGCCTCATAAGGGATATTTACTCCATATTTATTGAACATCATGGAACACATCACATAGGGAAAGAAATAAGAGATACTTTCAAAAAAATCTTTAAGAGGTTTACAAGGAATGAAACCGATGTCACTGACCCGTATAACAAACGGCACCACAGACTTATCACTCCATATCCATGTAGCTTCCATCTGTCACTGTAGAGCTAGATGTTTGTCTTATAAGGTGACATTTAATGTACCTTTCATTGCTGGCATTTATTACCACTATACACACACACACACACACACACACACACATGCATTACTCCTGGGCATGAGGTATGGGAGAGTACATAATTTAAGATTACAGCTCTGCTTCTTTCACTTAGCCTACAAAAGCTAGTTCCATGGAAATCCTAGGCAAGTAAGAATAGTTGTTGTACTCTTCTCTTAAAGCAGTAGTTACCAAACCTGGGGGGTCGTGACCTTTTGGGCGTCAGATGATCCTTTCACAAGGGTCAAATATGAGATACCCTGTATATCAGCTATTTACATTGTGATTCTTAACAGTAGCAAAACTACAGCTATGAAGTAGCCATGAAAATAATTTTATGGTTGGGGGGGTCACCCCAACACGAAGAACTGTATTAAAGGATCACGGCGTTAGGGAGGTTGAGAACCACTGTCTTAAAGGCAGGTTACACACAAATAGGCTGAATAGACAGTAGGATAGCAGTCTTCAGTGTTAAGTAACCTCAAGGAGAATTATTAACTCTGTCCAGTAAAAGTTCCTTTCTCTTAGAATGTAAGTGATATTTTATTATACTATATTACCATGGTTAAGTCTATATAGGTTTGGGGCATCAATTACCCCATTATTGTGAGTTTCACAAGGTATCTAAATAACCTTTCAGAAGTTGTTACACACTCTAATATAAATTACTCCCAGGAGAGCCTGTGTCTGATAGATTTAACTGTGTGAGTTGGGTACATCGCAGTAGCCTTGACTCATCTTGCTTTTAACAGAAGTAATTTCTAAAAATAAGCCAAATTGAGGCATCAGCTTTATGTTTGTGAACTTGCTTTAGACAATCACTTATGGAATTTTTAATGTTTTAACTCATGCTGCAGCAGGGATGGTTGACCTAGTAAGTATACTGAAGTTATGTTGAGCATTGTGGTTTTATTTTTTTAAAATCAAAATCAAAATCCCTATTGGTTTTAGATTGCCATGGTATGAAAAAGGAGAAATGGTACCGAAGCTCTTTCTCACCTGGTTTGAAATACTGAAATTTTCTCTTCCCAGACTCTGAAGTGCTTGACGCATTTGGATTTGCACAGCAACAAATTCACATCTTTCCCCTCCTTCTTGTTGAAAATGGCATGCATCACCAACCTCGATGCCTCTCGAAATGACATTGGACCCACAGTAGTTTTAGACCCCCTGGTGAAGTGTCCCAGCCTCAAACACTTTAACCTGTCCTACAACCAGCTCTCTTCCATCCCGGAGAACCTCGCCCAAGTGGTGGAGAAACTGGAACAGCTCCTGTTGGAAGGGTAAGAACCGACCCATTAGGATGGCAAGCTTATATTCCACCGAACTTAGCATGGCTGAGAAGGCCTGGAGATATTTCTATAGCAATGAATTTAAAGCAAACATGGCTAAAGGTTGAGGCCATTGTTAATTTAGACAACTTTATCAGTTGGAATCTTCACGGTTAATTTTGAGGCTTAAATGTGCCTTGAAACTGTACTTGGAGGGTGAATTGATTTTATACCTTTACACTATAAAAGCATTCAAATTCTAATCCTCAGTTTTGTGTTTTCCCACTAGAAACAAAATATCTGGGATTTGTTCTCCCTTGAGCCTGAAGGAATTGAAGATGTTAAATCTTAGTAAAAACCATATTCCATCCCTACCTGAAGACTTTCTTGAGGCTTGTCCAAAAGTGGAGACTTTCAGTGCCCAGATGAATTCTCTTGGTAAGTGTTGTGTGCTGACCGCAACCTTACCAGACCTTCCAGAAAGGGACATATATGAGTGTTTTAAGACGTTACAGGTGGTATTTCAGTTAAAAGGGGCCATAGTTCAACAAACCAAGTTGGCAGGCTGATAATGAAATGAGCCATCAAGCCAGGGAAAGGAATGTGGAAGACAATAAAATCAATGCATATTTCAGTGAAGGAAGGTCACACTCGCTTGATTCCACTTACAAAACATTCTGGAGAAGGTAAAACCATGAGCGCCAGTCAAAAGAGCCGTAGTTATCGTGGGCTGGCGAAGAGAAAGGGCGGAATAGGTGGTGACTGGATGACAGCAATGACGGACAGCTGCCATGTTTATCAACACACAGGGATGACCTTAAACTAAACTGTGAATGGCGACACTGCTCGGGTCAGTACCGGCCCCTTGCTGCAGCTGAACTAACACCAATTGACAGTAGGAGAAAAGGGGTGTGGGGAGGCCAGGCGGGGAACAGGAAGTGGACCGGCCCCACCCACATTTTCTGTAAAACTAAAGCTGTTGAAAACATATATATATATATATATGTATATATATATACATATATATATATACACACACACACCTACACAAAGAATTATATAAATGTGACCTTTGTTAGTGTTGCTTGTATATATGTATGTTTTTAGGACTGACTACTTGGTATTGGATAGCTGGTTAAGAAGGCCTAATCTCCCTCTCTCAGCAGTTGTTAATTGCTCTTAGTTCTTCATATGTGGGTGGGGCCTTGTGGAATTTCTCTCCTCTGGGTTGGGATGGTAACTGGTTTTGGAATTGCTCAGGTCCTGCTCAGACAGCCAGGTTGTTGAGATTTCACGGGCAGAGCCTCTCTGTGCCGTATTAAGAACCCACCATTCTGCAGCAGAGTTGCTGGGCCACTGGCTCTTAGGATCTTTCTGCCTCCGCTTCTGAGTTATTCTCTGAGCCTTTAAGCGTAGGGCTGTGTTGTGGATGTCTCAGTGGGGGCTGCGTGGCCCATGACTGGTGCTTCATCTGTATTTTAACTACTTGTGGCTTTCTGTGATGAGACCTGTCTGCTGCAAAAGGAATCTTCTTTGATGGGAGGTGAGAGCTACACTTATCTGTGGGCAGGATACGTATTTAGAGTGCAGTTAGGATTATGCTGGTTTAGGAAGATGGCAGTCGTAAGTTCTCTGAAGTCCATGATGCCGCTACTCACAAGCATGTGACTCGGCTTACAGGACTAGGCTTGATTTTCCTTCTGTTGTACAGGCCTTAAGTCCAATTATACTGCTTGTAGCTACTACCTGGATAGCAGTGCCATTGTTGAACCTTAGAGATACCGTGTCATTTTTGTCCATTGCGATTGGGAGGCATCACAGCCAGGTAGTGTTGTAATTTTAAAAATCCGGAATTCGAGAGAAAGATGCCATGAAACAGAGCTCACGTGGAAGGATTTTTTTTTCTTAATTAAGGGATAGGGGATGGCAAAAGAGGGGAGAGGAGGGAAGAGACTGGCCTCTGAGGATAGGAGTGGCAAAAGCATAGAGAGAGGCAGAGAGGTAGAGGGGGATTTAGAGAGAGGCAGAGGGAGAAGCAGAGAGAGAGAGAAAGAGAGAGAGGGAGAGAGAGAAAGAAAAAAAAAGAGATGAGAATGAGCAAGGCCCACCTTCTAAAAGGGAACATAGTGTATGTGCACAGAAGGTGCTCTTAGTGGCTGCAGTACAGATGCCTGAACACTAACAGGTCAGGCCGTACTATTATTCTTCCCTTGGCTGACTGTATTCCACCTTCTGTGGTCATGAAAGCTAGCTCTCCTTTAGGTGGTGTGTTTTTATTTAGCTTATCATGGCTGGCTCCTACATTTCCCCCTTCACAAGCCCTGATGACAGGACCAAATCATGGGTCCTGCCTCCCCGTGGTCTTAAGGAGGTATTATTGGGACCTAAGAATGACTTTAGTTAATAAGTCCATTAACTGACAATTCTGGGCCTATTTTCTGGTATATCAACAGGCACTATAGGTAGTTATCTTGTCCCCCATGCCAAGGAGTTCCCCCTTGTCTCATTCTTTCAATCTATTCTGGGCAGGGAGCATGGGATGACATGTTCCTTTCCTCAACTACTACAAGCTGACATTGGGGTGTTGTTATCAGGGTTTAAGCAGGTTGCAAGGTAGGGAGGGAATTTAGGCAATGGGGTATTCATCAGACTTCGTTGAAGGGACAGGGAGTGTTCATATTAGCTGGACTGGTCCACATCAGCTTTCATGAAGTCCAGGGCTCGCCACCATTCGGAACAGGGTGTAGTCAGCTGCTTAGATGTGTCTGTAAGCCAAGTGGAAGCCTATTGAGATAAATTTAAACTAGGAATAGAAATTAAAATTTATGTACTTAAAGAAAAATCCATATTGTAGAAAAAGAGCAGATAACGGGTATCTGTAAACAGAAGGAATAGATTCATGTCTTTGAGTTCTAGCAAATACTACAGATTTTGGTTAGAAGCATGTATATTTTTCTGCTCTCCAGAGAACCATGCATGGTTTGGACAGAGATGAGAAACACCTTTTAGTTTATATTTAAGAGGCAACTATAATTAATCTAAAATCTTGAGCTTGTGACCCAAACAGTAAGGAGTCAAGCATATTAGAACTGTGCCATAGAGGGGGGAAGAAATAAGAAACCATTTCCCATATCTTAACCTGTGTTTATGTTTTAAGTCTTTTCTTTTAGACCCTCAAAGCTTATTAATGTTTATATTCTCAGACCTTAAAACATTTTTAAGAGACCTAGTAGCTTTAGAATGAGCTAACAAGCTGGCTGTAGCTTTGTGGAAGGACCTGGATATCTTTTGCTGCTAAACTGACATTATAATTGCCCTAGCCATCTATACTATCAGAGATCTCAGAATGATAAATAAAGTATATCTGCACACAGAACAAGTAGTTTTTAAATCTATTAAAATTGAGAGGTACCAGAGTCCATATACAGTTAGTCATACCCACGTCTCCATACCATTGGAGGCAGAAATATCCAGAACAGCAGTCTTACAGTCTTAGGCATGCCCATAAGGTAAATATTTTTCCTTTGCAAGAGGGACATGGAAAAGACTGACCTTATTTTGTCTAGGCGAAAGTGGTGCAATCAATTCTCCAAGGTCCTGCTGTGTGTCCACAGTCTGGACTGGGTCCTGGCAGCAGGTGTTGCATTGGGGCATCTCGTCCAGTGGTCAGCACTATCATAATCCAGGTGGAGATATCATAGTGTCCAAGATATCATCTTCTTTGGAGACCTGGGGTCACTGCTAAAATCTCAGAGTCTCTGACTAATATAATAAGCTTTTTAAACATTATTTTAAATGCCATATTCTGCAGATCTCTGAAGTATGAGGGCTGCCTAGGTATGTCTGATTAGATAAACTTCGTTTCTCATTGCTTGTTTTAAGTTTGATTTTGAAAATATCTACGAGGAACTAAATAAGGCTTATTCCTGTAACTAATTATATCAGTACTTTAAAGATAACTGACTAACTTGTATTTCCTAACAGTCTACAATAAGCTAGAAGTCTATAATACAAGACTAGAAGTCCACACTCTGTAATGATTTTGCACTAAAGCTAATAAAGAAACTGAATTAGCCATTCCGAGGGTAAACACAGAACAAGTTTATATCTAGTTGTTAATGCTGTCTCCTGGGAAGGCAAGGAACAGGTCCCAGGGTGAAATGGGAACAGCAGGGAGTCTAAGAGCTGGCATTGCCCTAGGGCAAACTGAGACTCAGGTCTACCTTCCTGCTGATCTATCAAACCCATCTTGGCAGGCTGTACCAAGTTGCCCTGGGAAAGCTGCCCTGGGCCCTACATTTTTTTCCCCTTCACAAGTACCAATGACAGCACTCAATCATGAGTTCTGACTGTCCAGGGACTCAAGGGGGTGATACTGGGACCTCAATACTATCAGTTAAACAGTATTGACCTGTACTCCATTAGTCTGTGGATAAGAAGAAGCAAGATCATTAGGGGCCTGTTAGAGCTGAAAGTAAGGTGGTTAACAAAGGAGACCAGCTGAGCAAGTTTTCATCCAACTTCTGTGTGAGCATTTTGTTCTCTATCATTAACAAGGCCATTGAATCTCTAATTACCCTGGAGTGATTGACATAGAAACAACGTTCTTTCCCCAGAAGAGGAGGTCCAAACCTCTTAGTATCAATACAAAAACTTATGACTCAGCTTATCCAAATAGCTTAAACCCAGCAAAGTTAGCAAAGCCAAGGAGGCTAAACATACATTTTTAAACCTGAACAGACCTTGAACAAGGAAATACATTTTAAACCATTAGGGTTTTTATAGTAGTGAAGGTGGGGGTGAGGGGTTTCTGAGGTTCAGGACCCCTGATTGACTGACATTTGTCTAGGGGTGTCCTGGTAAGTGAGCTGGCAGGTGATCCTATCTACAATGGTTGGAACATTAGGCATTTCCTTTGGATGGTCTGTTTTTGAGAGGTGCTTGGGTAATCTCAGTTCATGGTTCTTCCTGCAACCAGGTTATTGCTTCAGGATAAACTACTGAGACTCGGGCCCCCATTAAACTTCTGGCTAAGTCCTACTCTGGCAGGTGATAATGGTTGAAAGTAAAGAACTTCCTTTAGGTAGTCTGTTTTTATTTAACTTATAGTGGTTGGCTCCTACACAAGCCATACTTTTAGGAAGTAAGATTGTTTTATGCTTCAGTGTAAAATGTGAACAAACATGTGGTATATTACTGGTTACTGCTTTTATTGAGTTTTCCAGAAATCTCGTTAAGATTGTAATATAAATGTCCATTATCTTGTTTTCTTTCTTTAGCTGCGATGCCTGCCTTACCTTTTTCCATAACGAGTCTAAAATTATCTCAAAACAGTTTCACGTGCATTCCAGAAGCGATTTTCATTCTTCCACAGTGAGTTCATTGTTATTTCACTTCTAAGGCTGAACAAACGGTTGCATAACTCTTAGAAGCGAAGCAATGGTTGGACGTGAGCATTTATAAACCCATTTTTACTTAACATCAGATATATCTCCTTAACTTTTACAGAAACTTATCATGTTTAGTGTAGGGATAAGCAGAATAATTAATTGCAGTATCTTATTTAGCTAAATAAGATGACATGGGCTGGATGTTTGTCAGATGGATGTTGGTTTCTATTGGGTTTTAGCGGCTCACATGGGGTTATTTGTTGCCTGAACACCTTTTTCATTTGTTTCAATGACATTTTCCGTGAAGATTAGGAGAATATATATATTTCCATCTGGACAGGATGAAGTGGCTGGGGTTTGGGGACTTGTTAAATTCATCAAAGACCCAAAGTTTAGACATTAATTCAGTTTCAAGTGTGTCGTCATTTTAAGAACTATTTTATTCATGCATATAAAACAATCATAGTTTATATGCACAGGTATGCATGTTACAGGCAAGTAAAAACCACAACCTAGTAACGGAGAATGTCAGGCAAACAAACCCATTAGCATAAACCTCTCTTTTCAAAACCCCTCTCCTGTTCTTATTGTACCACATGGACATTCTCTTTGGTCTTTCTCATCATTTTAGAAGGTGACTTCTGCCATCATGTTCATTTTATAATTTCGCTTGAGATGAAGTCTCTTCCCACAGTCATAATTCATCTGTGTGGTTGAGCTCAACTTCCGATTTTCAATTCTTACACAGTGGCTTCTTTTAAATAAACATGGGGCCATGTTTGAAATGTGTCTCTGAAAACACGGAGGCAAATAATTTACCAGGAAACAAAGATTATTTCTTCACAGAGAACTAACACTCTAATCCAGCTCCTGATTTCATCTACACCATCCTCAGGCTCACAGCTCCAGCCTTGCTTCTGGTTTCACCAACACCATTTTCAGGCACACATCTCCTCCAGCCTTTGTGTTTCTGTTTTAAATCTTCCTTGGTTTCACAAGTGGACACATAGTTGTCCACCTAGAGTCCCTACTGTACCCAAAGAGATACTGCTTTGGGAAAACGTAGCAATTCTTGCTTGTCTTCAATGCATTCCTGATTCAACTGATAAAAGTAATCTCCAACACAGCTTCTTCCCCTAGTTTTCATGAGCTTTTCTGCCACAACCACAACAATACATGATACATTTTTAAGAATATAAACAATGCTTTGTAGACCCAAACTCCAGTCAAGCAGATGCTAATGCTGTGTTAGCTGACGATTAATACATTAAGTTTCTAATACACGGAGTGAAAGGGATCCGTGTATGCATAAAAGCCTGCTCTATTTTCTTTCTGTCTTTATTCTCTCCTTACACATGCACTCTTGAGTATTAAGGTTTTCGGAAAACTTGAGAAGCACTGCTTGATGAGGGCAAGCAGGTCACATGGCAGACTTATCCATGCTTTGTCCTCTCTCATTGAGACTAGAGCATATCCACAGCTCTAGTGATTAACTCCAGAGCAGCCGCTGATAAAGTGAAAGCCATCCATGGAGGGCTAGTGGGGGCTGCCCAATCATGAACCCTGTAGAGGGGGCAGCATCTCAATGACCGCTTGTATATTTGTTCGTCATAATTTCTCATGCTCCATGAGAATTTATGAAACATTGTTTTTTTCCGCCTCATTTTGAGAGAGATGCTCTATGGTCCAAAGGGAAACTGGACCTCAAATTTTCTTTCTTTTAAAAAAAAATTTACTTAACGTATGTAAGCTGTAAATATGGGATACCACATGATGCTTTGATGTATGACTATCAAGGGTTAATATGTATGTCACTGCAAGCAGTTTTTGTTTTCTTTTTGGTGAAAGACCCCAAACATCCTTTCTTACAATCACAATGCCACCATATTTTCATCACAATAGACAAAAGTGACCCATTTTGCTTCTAATCGTCCTTATTCACTTCCACCTCCACTCTAGAGGAAAGTGCTGTATGAACACACAAGCTCAAGTTCGTGTTTATATGTAAGTGGCGTAGCTTTAAAAATGACGTCTAATTCTCAGTCTGGTAAAATTCCCGGTGACGTTCCTCTGTGTCCTATGAAAATTCCCACTTTGCTTTCAATAGAACATCATGTCGTCCACAGCTTGCGGTCCTTGGACATGAGCCACAACAGCATTGAGCACCTGCCGGGGCCTGCACACTGGGCATCTCTGAACTTAAGGGAACTCTTCTTTAGCCACAATCAGATCAGCATCTTGGACCTGAGTGAAAAGCCACACGTGTGGTCAAGATTAGAGAAACTGCATCTCTCTCATAATAAACTGAATGAGGTGAGAGGTCATCTTTGCTTTAAGTCATCAGATACTCGGGAAGAGATTTCAGCTGGCGTTGCCACAACTCCTTTCAAATCTGTTGGCATTTCTCGCTTTTGGAAATGAGATTTGATCCTCCAGTGTGCTAAGTGGGCGTAGTGGAAGCTCAGTTCCCAACAAACAAATCCCGAATCCTCTTGTTTTATATTTTAAAGAATTGTTACATATGAGTGTGCTTATCTAATTTTGAATGTGTGGTGCTGTAAGAGCGTCGCCATCTGTGACCTCTGACCTTTCCCAGAGCCTGGCTGACTCTGTGTCCTATCTTCACGGGATGACAACAGGCCTGTGTTTCCCCCCTTTCTTTCCTCCATGCTTAGATCTCTTTAGTCTTCCTCCGCAGCAACCCTCACCTAAATGAGTCAGCATCGTTTTATTTACACATGGAAGAAAAATATTTTCTCATCAAGTTCAAGCTGTTGACCAATTTAAAAGATACCAAAGGTCTGATGATCGGATTTTCAGGATTGCTGGATATTTTTTAAAACCTATACTTTTTTTTTTCTGTCAAATGAATGTGTGCTATAGTTAGCTTAAAACCTTGTAATAGTAGTCTTGGAATTATAATCCTTACCTAGCATACACAAGGCTCAATGCCTCCAACTGAAAAAAAATAATAATTAGAACAGAAAATTAAACTACTTTATTAGATTGGCACCTAAAGTGTAAGTATTTGGTATTTCTGGTTTACTCAAGACCATAGGCACTGTGAGAGAACGGGGCCACAGATAACAGTCTTGAATAAATATAAATGACTCATCTTTTTTCAAAATTGTATTCGATGAGGTTTATTGCTAAGAGAGATTTAGATTTTAAAGCTATAAATAGGACCAGCTAGGTGGTTGAGTAGGTGGTAGCTGCCATAACTGATAACCCGAGGTTCCTCCCGGGTCTCACGTGGTGAATGCAAGAAACCAGCTTCTGTAAGTTACACACAAACACACGTTTATGTGTGCACACACATGCATACACATACTTGTACACACACACACACACAACCCAAATAAAATTTATATTATGATAAAGTGGTAAATAACTCACATACCTGGGGTAAGTTCTTTATTTTTGCTTGTCTTTAAAGCATCAATACGGTAAACTAAAGGCAAGATTTGGGGAGAATGTTTAACTTTGTGTTAAGATTGTACAAGGAGCCTGTGGGATCTAAGAGCCTTTCTTGTTCACTATTGTCTTGTGTCTTGGCCATCCACACTGATTCCCTCCTACCAACAGGTTTTACCCTTTTGTATTTCATTAAGATTCCTCCTGAAATCGGCTGTCTTGAAAACCTGACATCTCTTGATGTCAGTTACAACGTGGAACTGAGGTCCTTTCCCAATGAAATGGGGAAATTAAGCAAAATATGGGATCTTCCTTTGGATGGACTGCATCTGAATTTTGACTTTAAGCACATAGGATGCAAAGCCAAAGACATCATAAGGTCAGGCGACTTTATTCCCTGTGCTCTTTGTCAAATGTGTTTCACCTTTCCCCCCTGAGATGTTGATGACTGTCCAGTTACACTTTAAGGACAATGAATAGTACTATGTAACATGTGTGTTCCATGTGCTTTTCATTTAATGCATGAGTTTCTATGCAGTCACTACAAAAGTTTATGTAGTTCCTAGTATCCCGGGAATGGTAAGAGAAGGCGTTCTCTTCCTCATCACCCAGAGGTGGAAGTCAGGTGTTTCCTTGCATCATGCTCCACACTTGGTCACTTATCAACCTTTGGTCATGCTTCACTTGATTTGCTGAGGCAGGTCTCTTATGAGCCTGGATCGAGCCAGCTTTCCCTGGAGGTCTCCTGTCTTTGTCTCCCGAAGAGTCGAATTGCAGGCAGGTTGCCACACCTAGCTTGACTTTGGAGTGGGTACTGGACTCCTGAACTCTGGTCCTTAGAGATACTTATCCACTGAGCATCTCCACAATCCCTGATGTTTCCTTTAGATCATATCATCGGGGGGGGGGCATTCAGATGCCTGCTGTTGGCATAAATTAGTCAGTATTCCTTAAAGTTTTCTTATGGTACGGTTTGGTTTCTAATTTTAAAAATGGCCATAGATTTGAAGAGAGCAAGGAGGGATACCCGGGAGAGTTTAGAAAAAGAAAGGAGGAAATTCTCTAAATACATTACAATTAAAAAAAATTTAAAAGTGTAACAATACATAGCATAGTTTCAAATGTATTTTTCTGTATCCATTTTATTTTCAAAACAACTTACATTTATAAAACTTAAGCATGGTTTTTTTTTTGAGCATCTAGCACTTCAAATTAGCTTCAATTCATTTTATATTGTTTACATAGAATACCAATGTTAATATCATTTGATACATTTGATAGTGTAATATCTTATATAGTTAAAATGAACAAATAAATGCATATTATTCTTTTATCCATGACTAATGCAAATATATCCCTATATCATACATGCCATATATAAATATCTATTTTGTATTTTATTTAAATATAGAAACACACACACACACATATATATATGTATATGCACATATAACATTGCCAAGATCGCCTCACTATCAAACTTTCATTAAAACAGGCTTTGATTCTATGCCATTGTAATGCTTAAAATTTATAATGGATAAGACTTTACTCGTACTGCTTAAACAATCTCCCACATAGACATTTGTACATGTATATATGTATACATTACATTTTAATAGGTATTGCAAATGGGTTTTAGCATTTTGGTTATTTCTAGTGTTGGGATAACGTCATTAGATTTGTCAATGCTGCCAAATATCAGTGGCTGCTCTGAAATCACTAATGGGATCTATGGACTGGTAGCACACCAGAAGGCGTGCGTCTTCTTGGTTCCATGACCTTTACGGTTTTGCGTGCTTGTGCCTTTGCATTCACTGTGGAGCAGCTTCAGCAGGGCCCAGTTCCAGCACACTGCTGGGTAGGCTGTTTCATCTCTTCTGTCTTTTTAACACCAGGTTTCTCCAACAACGGCTGAAAAAGGCAGTGCCCTACAACCGAATGAAGCTTATGATTGTGGGAAATACTGGCAGCGGCAAGACCACGCTGCTGCAGCAGCTCATGAAAATAAAGAAGTCAGATCTTGGCATGCAGAGCGCCACAGTTGGCATAGACGTCAGAGATTGGCCTATCCAAATACGAGGCAAAAGGAAAAAGGACCTTGTTCTAAATGTGTGGGACTTTGCAGGTACTCTTGGCATTCTCTTAGTTTTTGTTTGGAGTAGAACTTTTAGAACTGAATTTCCTGATCTAACAGAATAACAGCTGGTAGATCCTAAGCGATTATCCCAAGCCCATTAGCTTCAGATTTTGCCCAGAATAGACATTACCCATAAAGAAACTCTAGCATCCAGCAGAGGTGTCTAACGTAATCCCTTGGTTGCCAGCTAATAGACATTTTCAAAGCTGTGTGAATGTTGTCTGCTGATCACTTTCTTCTCAAATCCCAGGATGCCTATCCTCTATATAACTTTAATAGAGATTTGTGTCTATTGTGTGGAAGACTAAAGTCTTGACATCTTCTTCCAGGTCGTGAGGAATTCTACAGCACGCACCCCCACTTCATGACCCAGCGAGCTCTGTACCTTGCTGTGTATGACCTCAGCAAGGGGCAGGCAGAGGTGGACGCCATGAAGCCCTGGCTCTTCAACATCAAGGTGATCTCTTCTGGTTACATGGAAGTGGAGCAGGATCCCGCTCTCTGTTATATGTTTTGTTTCTGCTTGTTTGCTTGCTTGCTTGCTTATTTTGAGGCCTGGTTTCACTGTGTAGTTCTGGCTGGCCAGGAACTCTCTATGAAGGATCAGTGTGGCCTTGAATTCACAGAGATCTGCCTGCCTCTATTTTCTGAGTATTGGGGATTAAAGGTGTGCACTCCCATGCCCAGCTATATTCTGCTTTTTTTTTCTTTCTGATGTGTATATAAGGTGATATATTTTAAAGAACAGTTCCTCCACTTGTTTTGAATCTCTCTTCTTTTTTTTATTTTTCCTTTTCTTCTCTTCCCTCCCCTCTCTCTTTTTTCTTCTTTCTCTCTCTCTGTCTCTCATTCTCTCTTTCTCTCTTTCTCTCTCTCCTCTCTTCTCTTTCCTTTTTTTTTGTTTCTAAGTTAGAAACCCTTAGATTTTGTGTAATGATACGGAAGTGAAGCATCCCACAATGCTGCCTGTCACCAGCCTCTGAAATCCTTTCACACTGTAAAGTCTGAAAGCACAGACACACAGCTGATTTTGATCATACTGTTTTGTTAACCCGCGTACCAACTTTTCCAACTTCAGATGAAGTGTAACAAACACTCTGCACATGGCTAGTATATTTTCAGCGGCCTTTAAGTATGAAGCCTTCAGATCCTGCCGGGCAAATGGTCCCAGACGGTTGGCCTCCTTTCTTTGATGTCTCTGCTTTGCTATTTCTCTACCATCTACCGCTGCCTTGTTGATGGGCATTTCTTTATATGACTTTTTGAGTTGAGCTTGCAGCAAGAGTCCCTGTGCTCACTCTGTTGCCTCAGTGAGGTCCTCAGGAAGTTTGCACATCTAGGACATCTGGACACAGAATTTGGTAGTTCATGGGTGTACCTGATAATCTGGATCTTTCTTAAGCATCTCTTTTCTTGCTAATAATATAGCAGCTTGGGCAAACAGTATAGTGGCAGTAAGGTTTGTTTCTGTGGTTTTGTTCTTTCGTTCTCCAAACTGAATGACTTTAAAGTGATTTTGTGCTGCTCTGGCGGAGCTTGGAGTTTACTGAACACTTCCTTCCTTTATTTAGAAAAACAGCTCACCAACAACCCGCTTTAAGCAAATGTTAAAACAAAAGGAAAATTACAGTAACGCAGTTATTTAAGAACCTGGAAGGTGGTAAGAGTTGGACTCAAAAAGACATAATAATAGCTTGAAAATCGTTATATGATTATCATTATTTTAAGTTTAAGGGAATATCTTTGTTGCCATTTGCTGCTGAAACAGTCTATCTAAGCCTGAGTGATTCACTAACGACAGAGATTTCCGGCTCACTGTTCTGGAGGGAGGGAAATCCAGGCCCTCGAGGCTGGCATCTGCAAGGCCATTTCTGGTGTGTCATTCCATGGTGAAAGGCGGAAGGGCAAGAATGCACATGCCCAGTAGCAAAAGGAAGGGGACGTAAGTTATCCTTTTCTGGGTGTCCCTTACTGTAATGACAGAGGCAGTCGGTTTCTGGGCTCAGTGCTGTGACTTCGGCGTCTCATAAAGCTCCCGTCTCCAAACGGTGATGTGCCACAGGATTGTGTGTCTAGATCTGTCCTTTAGAGGACTCTGTGCACACACTAGCAGCAAGGAAAGACAGTCGCTGTTGTCTGCTTCTGAAGCCCTTTAATCTGTCGTCGCTGAAGCACTGAATTTCATACGTAGCCGATTCCACAAGAAATGTAAGCAGAAAGGATGTTTATATAAACAGGAAGTGTCTTGTTTCTGTTCCCTTAGGCCCGTGCCTCTTCTTCTCCCGTGATTCTGGTGGGCACACATTTGGATGTTTCTGATGAGAAGCAGCGCAAAGCCTGCATAAGCAAAATCACCAAGGAACTCCTAAACAAGCGAGGATTCCCCACCATCCGGGACTACCACTTCGTAAATGCCACCGAGGAGTCGGATGCGCTGGCAAAGCTTCGGAAAACCATCATAAATGAGAGCCTTAATTTCAAGGTGGGAGGGTGCGCCCCCTGCAGGCTGCTAGACGATTAAGGTGGGAGGGTTCGCCCCCCTGGAGGCTGCTAGGTGTTCAGGGAGGGAGAGTGTGCTCCCTGTAGGCTGCTAGAAAAATACCTCTTGTTCATTCTCTTATTGTGGTACTGCTTAGAAATGTCAAAAACCTTGAGGAGAGAGCGATTATCTGGAAATTGTGGGGTTTTTTTTTCATAGCTCAGAACTCCGAAAATACTTTCACTTTAAAATGACTTATTTATACCACACTTCATTCATAATTCATAGAAGTGGGGGTGAAATAGCTAGAGGATCCCGAGCAGAAATAGAATCTTGCCGGGATCCTGAGAAAATCATCCAGAGGTCTGTTCTCCCAGCTTCCTCTCCAGGGTTCCATCCAGAGGCTAAATGTGGTGGTGGGGCCGGGTGCTCCGGTCCTCTGTGGCATCTGTTCTTCTTGCAACTTCCTTTGGGGGTCCCTATTTTACTTCCAGCTTGAGCGTCCGTGCGGTTCCCTCATAATTCTTTCCCTGCTGGTTTCCATTTTCTTAAAAAAATTCCAATCTTTTTCTCTTAAATGTCGTGAGATGTCAATACAACTAGTTGGTTGTCAGCCATCTTTAGATAATTACCTAATTCATAAAGCTAGGCTCCAACTTAAGACTTGTGTTTTGAATTCCTTACACTCTCTTTGGTTATCCACTCCTGTCCACTAAATGAGTGAATAACCAGTACGCACAGGAAGGAATATGGTTGACATTTCTGTAAAAAAAAAAAAAAAAATGCTTTGGGTCCTTCCATGAGGCAAACACAATGCCGAGTCTCCCTGTTTTGTTTCTGTGGAGACCCAGAATGTAACCAGGGCTTGGTTCAGCTTGGGTATCCCAGAGTAATTTCTTACACGGCCACATTGAGTGATAAGCCATGTACAGCTCAACAGTGGTCCATCGGCTTGGCTCTGTCCCGCTTCCACAGGCTCTACTCCTCTCATAAGACAGACGGGCCATCTGTGGATGGGTTTGTCTTTGTGGTACCCAGGGAAAGAAACTGTTCAAGGAACATTTAATAGTTACTAAAGAGTCTTCCTGATTTTGGTGGTATTTGTCTAAAAATGGCATCCTGCGTTAGAAACTTTCCACATTGCTTTTTTTTTTTTCAGCTGTCCTGTGGGACTAATAAGATTAGGGAGAGTGTGACTGTTTTAAACCACAAATATAAACCCCACTCACTGAATTCATCTGTTTATCCAATTAGTTTACTCCTGTGGCTGTAATCTCACCTAAAGATTTTCTTGGCGCACGCCTTTAATCCCAGCACACGGGAGGCAGAGGCAGGTGGATCTCTGTGAGTTCGAGGCCAGCCCGGTCTACAAGAGCTAGTTCCGGGACAGGCACCAAAGCTACAGAGAAACCCTGTCTTGAAAAACAAACAAACAAACAAACAAAAAAAGATAATTAATGTTTCCTTTTCCGATACATCAGGTATTTGAAGCACCATTTTGGAAGATGATTTTGCTTTGTAAAAGCCTGAGTTTAGCTGGAGCAAGTCTTTGAGAGAGTTGGGTCAGCAGTCCTGGTCGCTGCTGCTGCAAGGAGGGGACTGGTCAGACGTCTAGGTTAATCCTACTTTGAGACAGCTGCCAGTTATTACTGTCAATCAGTGAGACCAGATTCCTTTTTGTACTTAAAAATGCATCTTTAAAACAACTCCATACAAAGAAGCCAAATGTGCCTCCCCAAATGACTGTATAATTGAATAGGAATGCATATTGCTAATGGCCACCTCATTCTGTCATGCTGGTTTGAAAATGCACCGGCTTGCTTCACTTGTTCTTTCAGATGGTGGGATAGAAGAGCCTGCCATGCTGGGATACCTTCCTCTCTGAAGCTTGCATGGAATCTTCAAGGAGCAGCTTTGACTTGATTAAGAGTGCTCCCTACATGCCTTGTTGATCTTCTTTGTGTCTTGACTCTTTCCAAACAGTTTCTTGTACTGTTTTTCTTCCGTATCTCAACCTGGTAGTGATCCCATGATCAAGGTGAAAGGTGAAGGAAATACAGGACAGAACCTCAGTCAGTGTGGACCACATTCCTTTAAAGTCTCTCCAGCCCAATAGCATCCTCCTGCTGGCTGGGACCCTCCCTCAGCACTCTTGCCCTGTCTTGATCTGCTTCCTGTAAGACATTCATTTGTTTCTCTTGCCTTCCTTGGCTTAAAACATAACCTTGAACTTGAAGTTGTATGTTGTCCTAATGTGTAAATGCTGAAGAACATACGATGGTTAGTAGGATTGGTTTTCCAGGGCAATGCGTGCAGGAAACCATGGAAGCAGTAGTTCTCAGTGCTGGAAACCAATCTCTGGATGCAAGCAGAGAGTCATGAGCAGCGGCTTTGTGTTTATGTATATTGGAAAGACCCAGTTTCTCCAGCCTAAGAATTTGTTAGAATTGGGTAGAACTAGTGGAGGCATCCTAAGAATCCAGACACGAGGAGAGGTTGCCCCCTAGTGGCCCTCAGGAGCATTTGGTTTGCTATCTTCAGAGCTGTATTTCTCTTTAAAATTAGATTTACCTGGGGGAAAAAGAAACTCTAAAGAAGAAAGGATATCTGTCACAGAAACCTCGCTTGAAAATCTCACTCTGTCTCTTGGCCAGTGCTTCAGACAGCAGGCTTCCTTTCAGGTCGGGATCACTGGCATTTAGACAAACCTTATTTTCCAGAGTTTAAGGTTCCATGAGAAAACATAACTAGGGGAGGAGATTCCATGAGTCCAGCTCTAACTCTTGATATTACAGCCCAACAGTCTCCAATACTTGTGGGTGTATTTTCATCTCATAAAGAAATATCCCAAAGCTCTTATGTTTTAACCCATCTGCGTACCGCACGCACCCTTGGTGCATTAGGAAATGAAACCACTCTCTCGGTTGGTTCTTTGCCTTTGTTTTCTAAAAGGGTTTTCTGTGTTAATAGATAACTATTTTCATGCTGTTTCATTTGCTGCATTCCACCCCCAATCTAGGTCCTTAATTTCTGTACTTTAATTTCCTCATCTATCCATCACCATTTAGATAGGCTTTGCACCATGTTTCAGTTTCATTAAAAACACATCCACCGTGTAAAAACTGTTATGGCTGAATTTCCCGTGCCACACATCTGTGACTCGAACAGATTTTTCCGCCTTGCCATCTGTAATTTCATAGATCCGAGATCAGCCTGTGGTTGGGCAGCTGATTCCAGATTGCTACGTGGAACTGGAGAAGATCATCCTGTCGGAGCGCAGGGCTGTGCCGGTGGAGTTTCCTGTCATTAACCGGAAGCGTCTCTTACAACTCGTGCGAGAACACCAGCTGCAGCTTGATGAGAACGAACTCCCACACGCCGTTCATTTCCTAAACGAGTCAGGTTTGTGTGACTGTTCTGGGTTCTGGCTTCCAGGGCTAGGTCGTGATAATTGGAAGCCATGCCTGACTCATATATGATCTCTGTTCAAAATGGAAGACAATGCCATTAAAATTCTTTAACGGGTTACTGGTGGATTTTATCTTTTGTAAGATCACCATATGTATGAACATTGAATCATGTATTATGTCCCAGGAAAGTATACTTTGAAGTTGACTAAGGACAAAGTATGAAAGAATCCCCGAGCAGGAATGAAGATATGTGGGTTCGGTGCTACGGTTTTGCTATTATGAGACACTGGACCCTTGATGAAGCCATGTCATTTCCTAGTAGCATGTTTTTGTGTGAATATCATTTTTATATAAGAATTATTACTGCAGTGGTTCACTGGGCCACCTTAGACAGTAGAGGCTGGTGTGATATGAAGGGCTCTGTTGCTTAAACTGTGAGCTCGCCGTTCAAGTCTCAGCCCACTGCAGCCCCATGCCATGCTGGTCCCCTTCCTTGTTTGCTTGCAGAACATGTCATTTGATGTCTAGTCCTAGAGTGAATAGCCAGGAAACTGTTTTGATCCTTGTATGAGTTTCTTTCTTCATGATCCTTCAGATATCCAGAGATGCGTGTTGTTTTTATTTATATGGAAATTAAAGCATGTCTTTGGACTATGCATGTAAAAGAGCCCTTTTAGACCTGTGGGCTGTGACCCCTTTGGGGTCCCATATCAGATAGCCTGCAATCAGGCATTTACATTATAATAGGTATTAATAGCAAAATTATAGTTATGAAGTAGCATCAAAATAATTTTATGTTTGGGGATCGCTACAACATGAGGAGCTGTATTAAAGGCTCACAGAGTTAGGAAGGCTGAGGACCACTGATGTAAAAGATCCAAAAGAACATTGTGAATTTGCATTTATCAACATACACTTTCCAATGCTTGCTGGTATTCCAAATATACTTATGCATATGAACAAGTCGTCTAATTTGAACATGCTTCCTTTACCCTTTTGTATCCCAGGGGTAGCGTATGCAGGGGCTCCAGGGTGCTCCTCTGTGAGACTCTCAGTGTAACCAGCTACACTGGAGTCTCTGGGCTTTGGTTTATTCTGCATCCCACTTTTCACTCTTCCATGGATTTTCACTGCAGGAGTCCTTCTGCATTTTCAAGACCCTGCACTGCAGCTAAGCGACCTGTATTTTGTGGAACCCAAGTGGCTTTGTAAAGTCATGGCTCAGGTTGGTGTTTTATATTTGGGGGCATAGAGGCTTTGGTTGAAGAACAGAGTAGGGAGCTCTCAGAGCATTTAGCATTTTAGTGTTTGTGTTCTCAGAAGGCTGGCACCATGGTAATCATAGAAAACTATAGATTACTTGATGGTGAAGATGGGGAAGAACTTCCCGGAATGGACAGGCATCTTAAAACTCACATTCTTGTCTTTGTTTCCCAGTTATGGGCAAATATCTAGGCCTCTGTGGTAAGTTTGGTTACTGACTTCATTAAATGAATAAAAGCTTTGTGAAAATCTTTAGAATAAAAACTTATGAGGAAACTGGGTTGGTGGAACTCTGAAATCTATCTGGAAAGTATGCAGGAAAGCCAGGCATGATAGTTTATGCTTATAACGTCAGTGCTTGGAAAATGGAGGCAGGAGGATCAACAGACACTTAAGGTCATCCTCACCTATTGTAGAGAGTTCCAGACAAGCCTAGGACACACACAGTCCTTTCTTCAACACAAAATAAAAAATGTAGAACTTAGGAGAAACTTTTCTGAGGTTCAAATATTTATACTTTTGAAAACTGTACTGTAATTATAATTTTCTGTTCATTTTTCACATAGAAAATTATTTCTCCTCCTGACAACAGCACATTATCAATGAGTTTCTATAGAGCAATTACAAAAGCCACCTGTAGTTTTTCCATAGAAAACCACTCAAGCGAGCACACCAGTTCAGGCGTTTCCAGCACAGTTGACACCATTCTTTGAATTTAATTGTGGTGTGTCTTTTTTGTAGGATTGATAGCATAATTTTTCCCCTCCTTTCTAAGTTATACTTGTACCATCTCAGTTTTGACAAATAAAAATTTGTCTGGACATTTCTATAGTGCTGAGGGACACAGGACCACCATAGCTCAGGACACACACTGTGTTTCACTTATTCCTGGCTGAGAAGAACCCAGGGTGATGCCTCCAGCTCTCATATGCGTTGGTAACTATTTTATTTATGAACGTATATTACAGCTTTCCATGTGGCTCCCCAAGTCTTTAACATGATTATCCTTTTTCATATTGGAAATATCTCTCTCGATTTTTCCATAATGCTAATTAAATTTCTTTAAGCAATCTTGACTAGTACTGCTCAAATCTATTTAAAGGTAGAAAGGGGGTTATTTTGAAGAGAGAACTCATTTGAGGGTAAATCCTGTAACCTGGCACTGAAGAGAACATTTCAACACAGGTGTAATTGGCATTTAATTGCATTTAATTGCAGCGTGTCTGTTCTAATAGTAGGTATTTTCAAATTGGTTTCCACATTTCTGCCCCAATGCCCCGGGTGGCATGAATTTGCTATGTATGAGATGGTGATGGAGTTGGTGGTGTCCTGTGCTTAGGGGAACATTATCTGGAGTCGGCATCACCTGAGTTGCACCTATTCTGCATATGAAGTTTCCTCTCCTTCCTGTTTTAAGCCTTTATGTCGTCACTTAAATAAGGACAATTGTATTTCCTCGTGCGTTGCTTTCCTAATTTAATGTAAGTGAAAGGAAACAAAAGCTTTATATTTAGTACTGATTTGATCTGTCTGATAATTTTAGGCATTCTCTTTTTGGATATATAAAAATAACTTTGAAGACAATACAAAGGTACAGAGGTAGTTTTGGGGAGTGTGCCAAGTATGGAGTCAAATTAAAAACCATGTGTAGGTGAACACATTCAATGCATGCGCAGTCACCCTGTTGGTTTTGCTGTGGAAGTGGAACACCATGGCAGACAGGATCTCCATATACACAAGAGAAGGATAAAGTTGTCCCCAGGGTAGTAAGTTTCTGTGCAACTTAACATGCATGCGTGGATAATGTGATTAGAAGCAGGCATGTCTTACACAGCAGAGTAAGGAAGAGGTTTGTATCAGTTTTCCTTTTGATAGCAATGAAAACAGAAAGCAAAAACAAACAATAAAACACCCCATGGGGAGGGGGAACAGCAAACAACACTCTCCCAACCCACATCTAAACCCAAGCCAAAGTAGGTTCCTGCTGTCATCACAGTGAAGTTCCCAGAAAGTCTATGGAGTAACTACTTGAAACTTCCTGGAAGTCCTTTTTTATTACCCTATGTCTAATGTTACAATGCTTGTTTAAGTGAGAGTGAGGTCAGGGAGATATGGTCTCACTCTGTAGTGCAGGCTAGCCTAGAGAACTAACTATACAGCTGTAGTTAGTTGTGTAACCCTACCTGGATTTGAACCCACAGCAATAGCCGAGTGTTAGCCTTCCAAGTGCTGGGATTGCAGGTGTGAGTCATTATTCTTGGCTTAAAGTGAAAGTGGACTCAAGAATTGAAACAATTCAAAGATTCCATGAAAGATTTAAAAGGTCAGGCAAATGATCATTTAAATTCCCTGCTAGCAGAAGCAACAAAGGTTATCACTTTTATTTGTATAGATACATCAGAATAAAGGGATTGTGGCTATAAATTACCAAGTGAAAATAAGAGGGGGTTTGTACGATACCAACCAGCAAAAGTAAATTGGAGTGCTCACCTCCATGTGTCACCAAGACAGGGCAGGAATGGTTTCATTTCATGGTGCAGAAAGTCTTATGAACCCAAATGTCATGCTCTGCCCTGAGACGTTATGTCATGAAAATTAATAAAGAATGTTCAGCCCAGGTAGGGATATGTTTGCAAAACTCATTTAACTATATGGTAAAGAGATTTGAAAGAGACCTATAGTACTAATCAAGTGGATCTTTCACAAGCTCTCATGGGGAATTATTCTTGACAGAATTCGTGGGAGATACAGATTTCTTGCTTGAAAAGGTCTATAATTTAAGCACATGAGTTAGTAGATAGAAGAAATCATAGGATCTTTAAAGGTGATAAAACTAAAATATTATTTCAGATTTTATCACTATATAAAGGGCCACTTTCAAACTTGGGAACTGAAAATGCTAAGTGTTCTTATTGCTACTGTCTTTTAGTTACTTCTTTTACTTTTGAGATTATGATACAATTATATAATTTCCCAAATCCATTAGGTCCCTCCAAACCCTTCCATATACCTCTACTTGAGCTCTTTCAAATTCACAGTCTCTATTTTTATTATTGTTGCATGTATGTACATGTATATATATATATACCCTGCTCACCTGCTCAGTCTGTATGTTGTTAATTGTATGTATGTTTTCATGTCTGCTCTCTTGGTATTGGAAAGCCAATTTTGTTTCGCTCTCTCTCAGCATTCGTTAGGGGCCTGTAGTTCTCTGTGTCAGGTTGAGGTCCCCTGGGCTTGGCTCCATCCACTTCAGCCTGCCTATTGGTGTCATCCTTGCTCAGGTAATGTTTGGACAGTCATGTTGGTGAGACTTTATGAATATAGCTTCTGACATCCCTAGAAGACACAATCTCACTGTCAGACCCTTTGGCTCTTATAGTCTTCCTAGCTCATCTTCAGCCCTGTTCCCTGAGACTAGGCTGTCGGAGTTTTTCTTTAGAGGGATCCGTGGAGACTGGGCTTCCCAGCTCTACATTTTCCTTGGTGTGGCTGTCGGTAATGGTTTCCATTTGTTGCAAAGGTAAGTTTCCTCTTTTCAGAGGGCTGAGGACTATACTTACCTGTAGGTATAAGGACAAATGTTTAGAATGTAGTTAGGGACTACACTGGCTTAGTGAAGTGGTGGTTGGAGGTTCTACTTCAAGAAATATGAGTTCACCAGCCCCGAGTAGTTGGCTAGGCTTCCAGTACCAGGCACAGTTTTCCTCTTGTTGAAGATACCAATTAGAGAGTTATTTGCTACTGCCGAGGTGTATATGCTGCTTCTGCACCCTTTGAATCATGTGCCATGTCGTTCATTGCTGTGCTTCACTCATAGGCATCATAGCTGGATAGGACTGTTGGTTGCTTCCCTCATTTGGGAGATTGCATGGTGTGTTCAGGTGCCATGAAAGTTAGTCCTCAGAGAGGAGACATTCAGGTCAGTTCAAGCTCAGAAGCCTCAGGGTTCTGCCTCTGAAGCACATGGTGTTTTCAGTAATCAGGACTTCCACTATACCTCTATGGTACAAGCAAGGTCAATAGCAATAGGTTATAGATCTGTGAGTCTCTTGGACATCCTGGCCAACAGTTAAAATGGGGGGCTTCTTATGGCTTTCAAGTACTTTTTGAGTATTTTTTTTTTTAGTCTCTTTATCAGGATATTTGGCTCTTATTTTGTTGTGTCTTTATTTTGGTGTTAGAGAGGCACTGACTTTGTAGAAGGGATTTAGAAGTGCTCTTTTTTCCTTCTCTTTTCTCTCCTTATTTGTGGGGAATCGCTTAAGAAGGATTGTCTGTGGATCTTTGGAAGTCTGGTAGAATTCTGCTGTGAATACATCTGGTCCTAGACATTTTTTTTTTTAAAAAAAAGGTGAAAGGCCTTTTATTACTACTTCAGTCTCCTCACAGGTCTGATTACACTGCTGAATTATTTTTGGTGATTTGGCTTAATTAAAAATTTACCCATTTCTCTTTGGTTTTCCAGGTTAGTGAAGTACAGGTTTTGAAATTGGAACTTTGTTACTCCACATCTTGGAGGCTGAAGGTACAGGTTCAGAAAAAGATAGTTAGGATTTACACATAAGTAGCTAGATTATACTAAATATTCCAAATCAGTTTTTCAAAGTTGACAAGCTCAAAAAAATATTCAGTGTCTTATATGTTCCAGATGTCCTGTTTCAGAGATTATAGCAGTTTGTGCCCTCACAAAGCTGACATGAAAAGGAGGAAAAAGATAACTAATGCATGGGCATGTGAGCTACTAGAGGACACAGTGTTCTTTAAAGAGGGTGGTAGTATGCCTGGGCACAGCAGTTGTCAGGTCTCAACAACTCAGATAGTCAATGACAGTTCCCAGCGTTGGAAGAATTGTCTGAAACTGCCCTGAAGGACAAAGGGTGGGAGAAACCGGAATCAACACACTTCCCTACCCAAGAGCTCAGCAGACACAGTCATTATATACAAGCTGAGGAGATGGATGGTACCTTCCTTGGTTTAGTAAATATCACACATATGAAATAGAGGTGGAAGAATAAGCCTGTGAGCCAGAGAATTTTACTGTCTAATACCTCAATGAACAGATAGCAAAAATAATGTTTGCCTCTACTTAGGGACCTTTTACACATCGTAGAGGTATGGAGGATAATTACGCTTAAACATCTTTAAGAAATTTGTCTAAAGTCCATTGAATATGTAATTATGGCTAACACAGGGGCTTAGTTTATGCTTAAAATGATCACACCTACTTCTTAAGCTTTATGTACATATGTTCATTCCTCTAGCAACGTAAGACATAGCCATCTTTAGTATCTCATTTCAGAGAAGGAAATAATCTGAAAACAAAACAAAAACAAAACACAAACAAGCAAAACACACTCCCCCAAAACCAGATACCTTTCCCAAGGTCCCACAGCAGTAACAGAGCCGCATTTGGACATAGGTTCTTCTGCTCCACTTTCATATTCTTAACTGGCAGGACTCTGTCTAATGCTCCAGATATGTTGTGATCACCAGGGTGGCATGTTAAAGGGTGGATTCACCTGCCTCTCTTCAGATTCATTGACTCATATCTGACCTGTAGAATCCTGTAACAGGGTGTGGTCATACTGCTTCTTTTCCATTGGTGTAAGCTGCCTCCTATCATGGAAACATCAATGTAAACAGTCATAATCTTGGGTCAATACCTAGAAGGATAATTTCTTGGAATGTAGAGGGATATGTTCGTGATGGACTGCAGAAGGGTGCTGGGGATTAGGACCAAGAAAATCCTGTAGATCTGGATCCTCCTCCCTTAGTTTTTCAAGTGCTTCTAAACATCTGTTTTCCTGAGCTTCCAGCTATCAACCACACAGAGATTCTGTCTTGACTTGTTTTAGCTTCTCTCCTTATTTGCACCAAGCAAAAGGTCATGAAGTGGTTTAGGTTGGAAATGTTTCGGGAAACGAGTCCTTGTAATTGTGAGTTCGAATCTTTCAGATTCTGACAGTGAAAGTGGAGGGCTGTCTGAAACATCCAAAGGGCATCATTTCACGGAGAGACGTAGAAAAATTCCTTTCAAAGAAAAAGCGATTCCCAAAAAACTACATGTCACAGTACTTCAAACTGCTAGAAAAATTCCAGATTGCTTTGCCAACAGGAGAAGAGTATCTGCTGGTTCCAAGCAGGTAAGACAGACCATAAAAATTCAATAGAAAGTGACCAGATTATATGATTTTTTGTTGCTGAAGTAATTTTTTTTTCTGTAGTAGGTACATTATTTTTAGTAAACTTTTTGGCAATGCATAGCACATATTTTGAAAACCAGTGTAGTTGATTAATGTCTTAAAGAAATAGAATATATATATATATGGCTTAACACACTCAAATTATTTAAGGAAGATTAACAGTGAAGCAGTGCACGTGCATGCACATCTTGTTTATTTGCCAGTGAAAGAGTTATATTAAGTTAGGGAAGGTTAAGGGAGACAGTGAGTTTCCAGCAGAGCTTAAAATAGCAGGCCTCATGGTGAAGGGCTGTTTTCTAGCCCTGTTTGAGAAAATTCTCATATGAAAGTAAGCGGGAATGCCCCAAAGTGCTGAGAGTGCAAATTATATTGATTAATGGATGCAGCCAATTCTAAATATAGATGTACTTGTTTCTAGGACATGTAATCTTAATATCTGCTTTTATGCTAATTGTATTAATTTATTAATACACATACGATTGGTGAAAGTTTTTTTTTTACTTTGGAGTAGTTTTTTTTCTTTTTTTAAATTTATTTATTTCTTTATTAATTAATTAAATGAGGACTACTGAGACCCCAAGAACAATGGCAATGGGTTTTTGATCCTACTGCACCTATTGGTTTTGTGGGAGCCTAGGAGCACCGGACTGAAATCTCAAGGTCCAAATCAGGAGTACCAGAAGAGAGAGTAAGAGCAAGGAACTCAGGACCGCGAGGGGGGCACCCACACACTGAGACAATGGGGATGATCTATCGGGAACTCACCAAGGCCAGCTGGCCTGGGTCTGAAAAAGCCTGGGTTAAAACCGGTCTCGCTGAACATAGTGGTGAAAGTTTTTTGTGCATCTACTTCATTTGAAAATGCATTTCAGTTGAGTAGCTTCCAAATTCTTGATGTGGAAGAGCATGTGACAAGAGAATATTATAAAACAATGCAATTTGTTTGGAGTAGTTATTTGCCTGAGTTTGAAGCAGTGAAAAGCTCAGGGCACGTTGCTCAGAGCACCATCCTCAGGCTACCAGGCTCAGGACACCAGGCTCAGGGCACCATGCTAGGTTTCTGACAGTCTCTACTTTCTGCAGCTTATCTGACCACAGGCCTGTGGTAGAGCTCCCCCACTGTGAGAATTCTGAGATCATCATTCGGTTATATGAAATGCCATACTTTCCAATGGGGTTTTGGTCAAGATTGATTAATCGGTTACTTGAAATCTCACCTTTCATGCTTTCTGGAAGAGGTATGTATTTAACAAAGCTTACTATGTAGACAAAGTAGAAAGAAATGTTGAAATTAGCGTGGCATTTACCAGAGTTAACCTGTTTGGAAGGCAGGAGTGGTCAATACATGAACAAGAACCAACTTTTACAGTTTGCTCGGAGAAAAATGTCCCAGTTCTAGTGTTAGAGGCATTTCCATCAACTGTGAGTATTGTACTTCCCAAGACTTAACAAACAGGAATCAGTAGCTTTAAAAGATGGAGTTTAGTGGGAGCTATTAGTTTAAGTGTACACACATGTACACACATTCACACACATGCACACACTCATACACATACCTACACTACACATACACTCACACATATACACAAATGTGTACACATGCACACACACACATGAGCAAAGAATAGTGTGGGAATAACTGATGTATGAAGAGGGGCTTTTTCTCAGCAAGTGTAACAGTTCTTGGCTTTCTGAGGGAGAGACTCTGACCCCAAGCATCTGCTGCCCATCCCCAGGGACTTGGAAAAAGGGTAAAGCTATGTTTATATGGTAAGCTCTCATTCTAAAGTAAGAGGCATTGTAACATGATAAGGAACTATCAGTGGGTTTCAGGCAAAAGATAACTGCAAGTCTTACTGGTTTCTGAAAAAAGTCGTGTTTCTTGGTGTTAATGAATAAAAAGATAGCTAAAATGGACTTAAAAGTTTGATAATGGTGTTAATATAATTGTTTAGAACAATTATGAAAAGTTACTTGTGATTTTTGTATTTTAACCATGTCAAACTCTTTATCAAGAGCTTGCAATGTGTATTAGATAGTATATAAAGCATTTAACTTATGTGATTGAAATATTAAGGAAAAAATTAACATTCACTTGGAGAAGGACTCATACTTAAATAAATCAATGTTCATTTTACAACAAATATATATTACTATCACTTAAGGTACGACTGGTAGTTTATCCCATTTAGTGAATGAAGTAGTTAATAACTAATGGATGCATCTGAATCTATCTTTAAACTCTCAGAGAGAGCACTACGCCCAAACAGAACGTATTGGCGACATGGCATCTACCTGAATTGGTCCCCAGAAGCATATTGTCTGGTGGGATCCGAAGTGTTAGACGATCGACCAGAGAGTTTCTTGAAAATTACAGTTCCTTCTTGTAGAAAAGGTAAGGAAGTTAACTCGGAAGCTTGCATTGTACCTGTAAACTAATCTAACCTTAAAGATAAGATTTTTTCCTGGGGGGTGGGGGCAACAGGGTTCTTTCCTGGCTGTTCTGGCTTACTATATAGACCTGGCTACCCTTGAACTCAAAGAGATCTGCCTATCTCTGCCTCTCGAGTTCTGGGACTATCACTGTGAACCGCTATAACTGGCTAATTTTTTGTTTTACACATATTGATGTTTTGCCTGCATGTTTGGCTGTGTACCGCCTGCAAGCCTCGTGCCTGCAGAGGCCATTCTGGAAGTGGAATTACAGATGGTCGTGAGGTGGAAACAGAATCAAGGTCCTCTGGGAGAGCAACCAGAGCTCTTTGTGGGAAAAAAAAAAATAATGGATTTCACCCTGACATTTTTACATGCAAATGTATTTTTATTCTCCCCTGCCATCCTCATCGGCTCTCTTCTGACCATCACTGCCGACCGCCCCCCCCCACTGTAGTTCTCCTGTGTTTCATATCACACATATGCAGGTGTGTGCGTGTTTACTTAAACACATATGCATGCATGTATGTATCTATCCTCTATGCATCTAGGTTCTACATATGAGGGAAAGTATGTTTTTTTGTTGTTTTACCCCACATATGCAGGTGTGTGCGTGTTTACTTAAACACATATGCATGCATGTATGTATGTATCCTCTATGCATCTAGGTTCTACATATGAGGGAAAGTATGTTTTTTTGTTGTTTTACCCCACATATGCAGGTGTGTGCGTGTTTACTTAAACACATATGCATGTATGTATGTATGTATCCTCTATGCATCTAGGTTCTACATATGAGGGAAAGTATGTTTTTTTGTTGTTTTACCCCACATATGCAGGTGTGTGCGTGTTTACTTAAACACATATGCATGTATGTATGTATGTATCCTCTATGCATCTAGGTTCTACATATGAGGGAAAGTATGTTTTTTTGTTGTTTTACCCCACATATGCAGGTGTGTGCGTGTTTACTTAAACACATATGCATGTATGTATGTATGTATCCTCTATGCATCTAGGTTCTACATATGAGGGAAAGTATGTTTTTTTGTTGTTTTACCCCACATATGCAGGTGTGTGCGTGTTTACTTAAACACATATGCATGTATGTATGTATGTATCCTCTATGCATCTAGGTTCTACATATGAGGGAAAGTATGTTTTTTTGTTGTTTTACCCCACATATGCAGGTGTGTGCGTGTTTACTTAAACACATATGCATGTATGTATGTATGTATCCTCTATGCATCTAGGTTCTACATATGAGGGAAAGTATGTTTTTTTGTTGTTTTACCCCACATATGCAGGTGTGTGCGTGTTTACTTAAACACATATGCATGTATGTATGTATGTATCCTCTATGCATCTAGGTTCTACATATGAGGGAAAGTATGTTTTTTGTTGTTTTACCCCACCATATTGCTCTCTCTGCTTTCTTCTTCCTTCCCTTTGACCCTCTTCTCTCCCTTTCCCCATGTATGTATTTCTCCATAAAATATATTTGCATCTAAATCTAGGTTATGCATACAAAAGAAAACTAACAGTATTTGTCTTTCTGAATCCAGTGTATTTGACTGAGCATAATGATTTCCAATTTTCTTTTCCAGCAAATGAGATAATTTTATTTTTCCTATGGCTGAATGAAACTCTAATATGTGTGTGTGTGTGTGTGTGTGTGTGTGTGTTTTAAGAATATATGTTACCTTTCTCTATCCCTCTGATAATGGACATTTAGGTTGGCTCCTTATCTTAGCTAGTGTGTACAGTGCAACAGTAAACATGGTACGATGTGTGTGATGATGGTCTTTGTGGTGATACTTTGTTTGTGATCTAACAAATAAATCCTGCCTGATGATCAGACTACAGAACTAACCACTAGTTAGCTATAGAGGCCAGGCAGTGGTGGCACACATCTTTAATCCCAGCACCTAGAGACAGAGGCAGTTGGATCTCTGTGAGTTCAAGGCCATCTTGGGCTACACAGATTAAATTTGTCTAAAAGAGAAACAAAGCTCATACTCACTTGCCTTTTAATCACAGCACTAGGGAGGTAGAGACAGGAGTGATATGGCTGGGTGGAGAGAGGAATATAAGGTGGGAGGAGACAGGAGTTCAGAGCCATCTGAGGATGCAGTCTGAGGATTTGTAGGGACAGGCTCACCCCTTTAGTCTGAGCATTGGTTGAGGTAAGAACTCTATTGGCTGGCCACTTTCGCTTCCCTGATCCTTCAGCTTTCACCCCATGATAGCTGCCTCCGAGTTTTTATAAATAGCAACAATTAGGATTCAGGTTCCAGGGCTCAGATGCCTTCAGGCATTTATACAGCCACTGTGCTGTGTGATATTTCTGTTTTTAGTGTTTCTGTGGAACCTCCACACTGATTTCCAAAGTGGCTGCACAAGTTTGCATTCTCAAACAATAAGGGACAAGGGTCCCTCCATCCGTACGTCTTGTCATCATTATTTTTTCATTTATTGTCTTGATGTCAGTCATCTCCCAAAGGAGATTTAATTATCATTTCTCTGATGGCTCAGGATGTTGAACAAGTTTTCAAACCACTATTGACTATTACTATTTCTTCTTTTGAGAACTGTGTACTCCATTTATTAACTTATTTATTGAATGGGTGAAGGTATATTAATGATTAGTAGGTGGTCTCTTACCTTTGCTGATTATCTTCATTGAGGTGCAGAAGTGTTAAAATGTCATACAGTCCTACTTGCCAATTCTTGATATTATTTTCTGTGCTATTAATATCCCTTTCAGAAAGGTCTTTCCAGTGTCTGTATCTTGAAGCACTTTCCTTTTGTTTCCTCTAGTAGATTTGGGGTTTCAGACCTTACATTGGGGTCTTTGATATATTTTGAATTGAATTTTGTACAGAGAACAATTTTTTTCTAGCTCTGTGAAGAATTGGGAATTTTAATATTGATTTCAATGCCATAGTAGATTGCTGTGGGTAGCAGTAGCTTTCATTATTAACATTGATAAGCAGGGGAGGTCTTTGCATATTGTAATGTCTTCCTCAGTTTCTTTTTAACTTTGTTAAGGTAGTATAAAGAGTAATGGTTTGCATTTGGCATTTTCATGTACATGAATATGGCCTCATACTTGGTCATCTGCACTTCAATACCTCATTCCCTTCCCTTCTTGCTGGTCACTTCCTTCGTCCTCCTCCTCTTCATTTTCTTTCCATAATGTTTAAAGGTTTTGTTATGGAAGTTTTTGCTCATTTATACATGGTAAGAATTGTCTATGAGTTCTTAATTTTGAATTCTGTAGGTTGTATTCTCTTGGGCCAAGTTGTGGATCACATCGACTCACTCATGGAAGAATGGTTTCCTGGGCTGCTGGAGATTGACATTTGTGGGGAAGGAGAAACTCTTCTGAAGAAATGGGCGTTGTACAGTTTTAACGATGGCGAAGATCATCAGAAGATCTTGCTTGATGAGTTAATGAAGAAAGCAGAAGAAGGTAGGGGTTGGCATTATTTTCAAATGTTTTTAAAGTGCCCTCGCTATTTTTACATGCCTTTAATATATAAGCATTATTCACATCCATAGGGTTGAGTTGCATGAATTACTGCATTCAATTATAGTGACAGTTCAGAAAAGTAAAGTTCACCTAGTGTCAATAATAGCTTGTATTTTGTTTTCTCAAAAATGTTGATTTCCAGTTTAAATGCTGGATGCTTGTGATCATAACTGTATTTGATATTTTTGTTTCTGTAATAAAACACAATGATCAGGCAAATTATAGAAGAAAGAGTCTATTCTGGGCTTCAGAACCAGAAGGTCAGGGTCCATAATGGCACAGACAGTAAGCTGCAGTCACAGCAGCTAAATCTGGAAGCAGAGACCTCACGTCTCAAGTCACAAATAGAAGTAAAGAGAGTTCACTTGGAATGGCATGTGGCTTTGGAAACTCACATCCTGCCCTTGGCGACACACTTCCTCCAGTATGGTCACATTTCTAATGTCCTCCAAGCTCCCACCATCAGGGGACCAGGTATTCAAATGCCTGAGAGGCCTGGGGAACACCTCATTTAAATCACCAGGGTAATCTTATCTTTGAGGAGGGAATAGTAAAGAAAACCCATGCATATGACAGAACTGTTAAAAAGATGGAAACAAAGCATTTGTAGGTAGCAGCATGCTTGCTCTGCATTGCCGTCATAGATGTTGCAGATACAGAGACTAAGGGCTTATTGGTCAGAGGCCATCTGTTCTAAGTCAGGTAGAAGTTCTACCACAGAGTGAGTGAACCTAGGAGTATGTGTTTAAAGTTCTAAGTAACTTGACATTAGTATTTTAGGTGTGTATCAGAATTTTCTAGAAAAATCTATGGCTGGCAGAAAAATCTAAAGGCTTTTTTTTTTTTTTTTTTTTTTTTTT